AAGGAGCAGACTCAGCTGGCGAGGAAGGAGCTGGCGCAGCGGGAGTGGAGGGTACAGATGGGGCGATTGGTGTCTCCGCGGGTGAAGAGGCGCTTGGAGCGCTGCTCGGTTCGACGGGAGAAGGGGTAGGGGCTACAGGCGCGACAATGCTGCTAGAGGCAGCCCCGGAAGGCTTGGGCTGGGTGGGAGTAGTGGAGCCGCCACCGAGCTTGAGAATGCGGGCAGCTGCAGCTTCAGCTGCGACCATGATGATAGCTTGAGTGTTTCCGGTAGGAAGATCGGGGTGCATGGAAGCATCGACAACGAACAGGTTGGAAGTACCGTAGACCTTGGTGTCGGTGTCGACGACAACACCGGCTTCGCCCTTGGCACCCATCTTGGCAGTACCGACGTAGTGGCTACCGGTCTTGAAGTCCTTGATGAGGTCAGCGCCGGTGACGTTGGTGACACCGGCGGGAGCAATGAGCGAAAGCGTGGAGTTCCCTTCAGCGGCCATCTTGATAAGACGGTTCATTCATGATTGTCGCAGCCTCCTTGTCGACGTCGGAAGTCAGGTGGGGGTTGGTGATGAAGTTGGTGGCGCCATCGGCCAGTGATGCCGAGACTACCAACCGACTCGGAGCCGTGTGTGATATAGACCCTTCATCTGGATTTGGTTCTCTGCTGGACCATTGCAGGTTCCCTGGAAGAAGACCTCCTTACCCTCGGTAGTGTTGACAGAAGTCCACCAGTTGAGGCGCTGACCGGACTGCGCAAGAAGACCAGAACCCTTCGCGAAGAGGTCAATCGTCGTCTGGTTGGGCGTTGTGTATGCGGTCTTGGGTTCGGCGCGCACGGGTGTGGAAACGTTGAACTTGACAGTGAAGATTGGGGTGGTCCTTGATCTCCTCTCCAACTGGAAGGTCAATCCAGTCAGCCTCAGCTGGCAGTTTGACACCGCTTGACCCTGAGGCGACAGTCTGAAGCTGCTTGGCGGGACCGATACCAGAGTTGAACAGAATACGAGGAGTAGACATGGCGCCAGCGGCAAGGAGAACGCTGCCTCCGGCCTTGACGTTGTAGATGACGCGCTGACCAGCTTCTGACTCGACTTCTACACCGCTGATGGTCTCTCCCTCACGGACTGCACGGATGACCTTGGTGTTCATCATGAGTTTGAAGTTTTCCAGTTTCTGGGCAAGGGGAAGGTAAGTCCTGACAACACCGGAGCGAAGGCCATCAGCCGCGTTCCACGATGGGTGACCAAAGACATCCTTCTTTGAGTTAGGGTCTTTGATGAAATCGGTTTCGGCCCAGCCCTGTCCGGCGAAGAACTTGGAGAGCACATTGAAAGCCTCGTCGTTGTAACGCTTGCCGTCCATGGAGCCATAAGTTTGACCGGGGTTGCGCTCCCAGACACGGTCGGCTGCAGCGGAGACATCAGATGACTTCCAGCCAGCGGGCCACTTGTCATCGAAATCCCGATCCTGCGGCTTGACGAACATCATTGCATTGATAGAGCTGCCGCCACCAAGAAGACATCCAGCTTGGTCGGCGGTGTCTGAGCAGAAAGCCGGGCTACCGACATCACTGAGGTAGTATCCGTATGCGGGTACATCGTACATAGTCACAGAAGAGTTCCAATCGAGGGTCTTGGTGTTGCCAGATGATGCAAGAGACGGGCCACCGCGTTCGATCAGAAGCACGGAAGCGCCACTCTCCGCAAGTCTCTCAGCCGCAATCACACCAGCGGGTCCGGCACCAGCAACAATGTAGTCGTAAGTCGCATTGGCTACAGTTGCATTTCCTCCAGTGATTGGGGTGGTTGTGTTTCCGCCGGCACCAGGAGTGATTGGGGTAGTTGGAGTGGTGGAGTTTCCTCCTGAACCACCCTTGACCGCAAGTGCAGCCCACTTGGCAAAGTCTGCACTTCTAGCATCGGCCAAGGGCATTCCAAAAGCGCCGAATCCCGCGCTGTGGTATGTAAGTGCACCAGAGGCGGAAGTGGGGTCGGTCAAAGCGTCGTCTGACTGAGCCCATCCTACGATGTTCAACTCGGGAGCGACGACGAATCCAGTGAGAGGATCCTCGCTGATACAGTTCGAGCAGAGGAAGGTGTATGAGAAGGCAGTGTCGTTGACAAAGGTACCGTCAGGGATGGGAGACATGGTGAAGTCTCCAGTTGCGACAGATGGGCTGCTGTATCCAGTTGCTACCCTAAAAGAGGAGACGACCTTTCCGTCGTTGGGCCATGCAACGGCGAGCAAGTTGCCCACCATGCTCTGACCCATGCTGAAGCCAGCCCATCCTGCGGTTATCGGAGACTGGATTTGCGCGATGAAGTCCTTGCCTGCGGTCTCTGGAAGGGCAATACCGAAGGTGAATCCCGTGTCCGCAGTGTAGCCATTGAACTTGATACCAGTTTTGGCATCTGTGTATGGGGCAGCACTCTGAGCAGTGGCTTGTAGCGCAAATAGTGCGGAAGAGAGAAGAATAGAACGTGCCATGGTGACTGAATGTTTGCTGGTGATTGATGGGAAGGAATGTGTATGGCACGGCCAAAAAAGAATGACAAGCCGTCAAGGCTGAATATAACGACCGAAAGCGTTCGAAAAAAAAGTTCGACGACTGAAAAAAAGAATGTATGCAAGCAGCAGTTGGTGGTGACTCTATCCAACAGCGAGCCGGGCCGTTATGTACTTACGGTGTGCGCATTTCTCAGCGATGCGGGTCTTCCAATCCTCAATTTGGGATTCAAAGCACAACTCTTCCCGCTGGCTTAGCTATGGTGGAGCGACGTCAGACGCATGCCTCGTCTCTTGGGTCCCAGACTTTTGGACCAGGCTGGGCTGTCAAAATCCAGAAATACGGTTCATTGACAGGCTCTGTATGGCGCAAGCGGAGAATAGTGCGGTACCTGCGCGTGGAATAGATTGCACGCCACGGAGAGCGAAGAAAAGCCGACAGACTTTTCGAGAACGCTCGGCACAACAGTTTGAAATCCGTCACACTGATTCGCTCCAGCGAAGTTTCATATCCCGTGGCGTGGTTTTGCCTTGGGAGTGGGACCGGGGTGGTTTCGAAACGAGCCCTGGAAATTTCCTTGCTGGGACGGAGAAATAAATGAACGCCAAACATCTCGCCTCGCAATCGACACTTGGCGATGGATGCTGGTAGTGCATATATTGCGCCCCTGTGTTGGACCACATTTGTTTTGTTTCTATACATAATAGAAGATTTAGCAATGGCCAGAAGCAGCTCGCCTACTAACGCGGAATGGCTAATTGGGACAGCTCGACGAACGACCTGGATGACGTTCGTGTCATGTTCTTGTAGGGGGAACCGGCATGGAGATTGAGTCCTGTTGTCGTTCCGAGAACTCTCAAGCGCTACGGCCTGTCGTTCCACCACATGTTCTCGACGGCGCCTGGTGCCTCCAACAGCGGCGCACTGGACAGGAAGTGTTCATCCGCGCACCCAACCCACCGCAATCTGCACAACGCTGCGACACGTCCTTTCATTATGCTCCACGGTACCTGGCGCTAAGATTGAAGGGATCCATGCTCGAGAAAAGAAACGACGGCTTGTTGGGTCTGCCACTAAGCGGAGTCTACGTCATCTAGTCGTAGCTTCAATGTACGCTCAATGGTCTTTGTCGCGTCAAAAGATAGACAACAGCAAATGTGATGAATTGGCATCAAGAATAGGTTTGTGTAAAGTCAGAGAGCGAGTCGCGAAGCTAGATATGCGCACCGCAGCGGAGGTAACAAAGTGGGGTTCGTATAACCGAACCTCGGCTTCGACATCATCAAAATAGCCCTGGAATCGTGAACAGTTCACAAAGTCGTCGACTTTCTTGAATCTATTACCACATTGTAGAACATATAATTGTAATCATGGTGAAGAACAATATCCCTGCCTACGTCCTCGGTGTAGGACTCACGAAGTTCATCAAGCCGCGGAAGGAGCGCGCCTATCCGGAGATGGGATATGAGGCAGGTGTCAAAGCGATGTTGGATGCACAGATCAACTACGATGATGTTGAGACTGGTGTGGCATGTTACTGCTACGGCGACACGACAAGTGGGCAGCGAATCTTCTATCAGTTTGGAATGAGCACGTAAGTATCCAGCATCCAGTTGAACAAACAACCTGCATACACAAGATAAGTCCGTTGACCTTCATCCAGCATCCCCATATACAACACAAACAATGCGTGTGCGACCGGGTCTACCGGACTTCACCTCGCTCGCACTCTCATCAAGAATGGTGCCATCGACTGCGCCCTCGTCATCGGCTTCGAGCAAATGCAGCCAGGTTCCATCAAGTCTGTATGGTCTGATAGACCTTCACCTATGGGCTTGTCGATGAAGATGATGAACGATACCCGCGGCATCACTAATTCTCCGCCCAACGCACAGTACTTCGCCAACGCTGGACTTGAGTACATGGAGAAGTACGGTGCGGAAGCGCGTGATTTTGCTGAGATTGCGAGGATCAGCCATCTCCACTCGGCAAAGAACCCGTATGCACAATTCAGAGATGTGTATACGCTCGAGCAGATTGAAAAGGCGCCGATGATCCACTTCCCATTGACGAAACTGCAATGCAGTCCTACTAGCGATGGGGCTGGTGCTGCGGTGATCGTTAGCCAGAAGTTCTTGGACGAGAGGCCACACTTGAAGAGCCAGGCCATTCTCATCGCGGGACAATCTTTGATGACAGATTCGCCGCAGCTATACTCAAAATCATCGATGGATCTCGTTGGCTACGACATGACGAAGCGCGCTGCTCAAGCTGCACTCAAGGAGGCTGGCGTAAGCCCCAAAGACGTCAAAGTTGCAGAACTACATGACTGCTTCTCGGCAAACGAACTCATCCTGTTGGAAGGCCTTGGCTTCAGTGAGCCTGGCAAAGCACACATGATGGTTCGAAATGGCGACATTACATACGGTGGCAAGGGCCCCATCATCAACCCCTCTGGAGGTTTGATCAGCAAGGGCCATCCTCTCGGTGCTACGGGCCTTGCGCAATGTGCAGAGCTTACATGGCAGCTCCGAGGTTGGGCTAACAACAGGCTTGCCGACAACGCGGATGTGGCGCTCCAGCACAATCTCGGCTTGGGCGGTGCCGTGGTCATCAATGTCTACAAGCGCGCTGACGGACAAAAGAACGTCAAGATGAGCGATGAAGACATCAAGAAAGCCAGCCAGTTCGACTACAACCCAGCGACCGAAGCGCGATATGTAACGAAAGAGGAGGGCGAGAAGGTCAGGAGCAAGACTGTGAGGAATGAGTATGCGCTTGGAGACACTTTGGAGAAAATTCAGAGTCGTTTGTAAATTGTACTCATAAGAATGTCGATTTCATCCCACCCAATCAAAACGCCTGTTAAATCCATCAGATGCGCTCCTAGTGTGCATGTTTGCAACCGCACGACTTCCCACTCAGCCCAACGCGCTTGTTCCAGCTCCACGTCATCTCCGGGCTCTCCACCATTTTCTTCATCTCCTTGGTATCCGCATGCCTGAAACCCTTGTCTATCATACTCATCTCAACACTCAAGCGCGCATACTTGACAGCCTCCCACTTCTTGCCAAAGCTACTATACGTCTCCGCAGCGTACTTGTACGCCGTCGCCAGACTTGCGTCCAATCTTTCCTGCTGATACAGCGTGACCAAGAGCTCGGCCACCTCTGTCGTCGCAGAAGACTCCGACGTCCAATCGTCCAGCATGAGCGCCAGATCGGTGATCTGGTACAGCCGACTATCCGACTCAGCAAACACGGCTGGATGCGCAGTACACGCCGAGCAACCACAATCGAAGCCCCAATTCTTCTTGAGCCGTGTGTTTCTCGTCTTGCGATCCTTCTCGTTGTCGATGTATGTGATCGTGATCTCTTCGCCGGGCTGGATGTCGCGCAACGCATGCACGTAATGCGTCATCATGTCCTCGTCCCAGAAATAGGCTGCGTTAGGCCGGCAGTCGTGGTTCATCATTGCGATCTCGGGAAACAGTGCTTGTTGGCTGACGCCGTCGATGGTGGTGTCGAAGTTGTTCGTGTTGATCCTGTCCTCGACTGGGTCGCCGTTGAAGTGGCCCATGAGTGCCCAGAAGCTCTTCTGAGTTTCGGCGGGTAGGGTCTCCACACCTCGATATAGGAGTGCGTAGCGTTCTTCCGTTGATAGCTCGTAAGCATCGCTGTCGGTGATGACGATAGGTGTTGATGCGAAGATCTGATCGCCGCGGTGCAGGGTCTTGTTGGCTACAAGACCACGTCCTTTGCCTGGGAATTCGTGCTGTACGAATGGCGGGTTTTCGTATTTGTTCACGCGTGCGAGAATTTCTGGGTTTGTGAAGGCAGGCTTCTCCAACATTGCGTAAGCAAAAGGTCTGGTGGTGAGGATGAAGACGCCTCGTCCGCCGGCAAAGCCCTGGTGACTGAATACGCAGTATGGTTCTTCAGTCTTCTCATTCGAGTAGCATTCAGGCCAGAAACTCCACGGAAAATCAGTTGTTTCTTGTGCTGTTCTCCGTGCTTCTTCTAATGTTTGGGAAGGTTGTGAAAGGTTGCTTCGATAAGCAATTGTTGATGCGAATGTGCTAGAGGCATCGTAGGACTCTAGTTGGCATGCGCCGTCCACGAGTATTGAACCTGAGGGGCACGCGTCTTGTAGAAGTGCATCGCTGTGAACATGTTCGGATTTGTCGCTCGTAAATGCGAGTGCCCCACCAAGGAGGCTGAGACCGAGTGCTGACCACATTTTGTTGGATTTTGTGTAAAATATTCTGTTTGAGACGAGTGTTGCTGAAAAATCGTGGAACATCTCAGTGATAATATACTCTTCTCTGCGTTCTTGGTACTGGAGGTCATGAAACACGAGAGGGCGATGAAGCGATATCTGAAACGATTCCACGAAACGAGCCGTGTTAATCAAAAGGAGTGCGGGGAATGTCACAAGAGCTTACGAGATCCCAATACCACCAAACAACACTGGCAGATCTCTCGTTCTATATGTCTGGTTCTCGTTCGCCATAATTGTGACGCTCGGGTCGAGCAAGTGCGCCGATGGATGAGGACGTCGGAGGCTCGACGCGGCTTGCACTTGTGACAACAACTTCCTATGGTTTCCAGAATGCAATTCCGATGAAAACTTTGTTCTTTTTTGGTGTTTACACCTCAGCAAAAAGGGTAGCAGCCTGACGATGCTGTAGGCCAGGCCGTTGCATTCGAGTTTCGAGGGTGAAACAAGGCCCCACTCGGCAATACTTGCTATACACCGATTTGGCGCACTAGTTCCTGAACACCACAGCAGAGCACTTGGAACTCTTGAAATTTAGTAGATTGCTACAACTTTTTCCTAGAGGGGTATCTTCTTGTCCCACGCTTGACTGCATAGACTCAACCAATCAGTGCACCTTTATTGTTTCCATCCGAGTTCAGCACTGTGTTGCACTTGCTGGCAGAATCGCTCGCCGAGATGGCACCTTGGTCACCCGCGCAATTGCCGCTGTATAACCGATTACCCTTCTGACAATTCGAGATGCCAGCCGCAGGCACGGATAATATGCCTTGGGCAAGATCTGGCGCTTCTATAATTGTAGCAGCCATGCCGCCGACGAGATGCAAATCGATATGGCAATGGAACAACCAGACGCCCGGGTTGTCGGCTTTGAAGCGAATAACGAGATAGCCATTGGCGGCAACTACTGCAACGTCGCGCTTCGCGGGAATATTAGGAAGCGAGCTTTCGACGCCATTCCACGCCCCAGAACCTTTGGCCACGATTTGAAAGACATGGCCCTGCTAGAGTTAGTCGATCACATGTGTATCGGGTAGATCGCATCGACTTACGTGAAGATGCATCGGATGCGGATATGGATGCGTGTTCTGGTAATGAATCTGGATTACCTGTCCGGACTTTACGACATGGGGCTCAACTCCCACTCCATACGTGGCCGGATCCATGGCGTTGGAGCCAGTTGTTAGCGCAGTGTAAAGCGAGGGAACTTTCGCAGGTACCCAAGGCTGAGCGCCCATCCCGATACGGGTTCCGATTCCCGAAAAGTACGTCTGGTTGGTTGCGAGCTCGATCTTGTTGTCTACTGGAGACAAAAGCTTTTGGCCGTCCAGTGGCTTTGCGGAGAAGTCGTCAAATGTCGAGGCGGGTTGCCAGTTGAACGTGAGAATGTCCGTGATAAAGTCAATGATCGACCCCAACAGGTTATAAATGAGCTTTCCTATAACGGTTCTCGCGCTCTCAGATGGGATGTTCCCCGTAAGCATGTCAGTGGTCATTTTAACAATGTAGTTGGCTCCTGGAAATTGAAGATGAGAGGTCAGCATTGCCCAGCAAAATTGTCGTGGCCAGCAACTCACCTCCCATGGGATTGGTCTTTCCCTGAACCACTACGCCAATCGTCTGACCCGCACAAAGGACGATAGTATCCGCATTGCTGGGTTGTATTTGCACACCGTCCATTTCGACAACTTTGAGGGTGTACCCTTGAATGTGGAACTGGCCACAAGCAAGACCACCAATGTTGGAAATACGAATGAGGTACTTCTTGCCAGCTCCGAATTTGAATTGTGGCGCACTGCGAGTATCGTTGACTAAGATCGTATCAGGAGACGGCAGATCTCCATTAGTGTTGCTTGGGCTCATGTAGTCTTTGATGATGTCAGGCATTTGCCTGTGATACCTATTCGATGTTATTAACTGTATTGCTTTTTTTCGGTGGTGTAGGTACATACCAATCTGACATGCTGAGATAGATCTGCGAGTCAATGCCTAAGCTGTTTTCCCAGTTCCGATCATGGATGATCATTTTGCCTCGAAGTCCGTCTGGATATTGGCCTTTGTCATGCGAGTGATACCAATGAGTTCCGGCAGGGTTGGCAACAAAGGAGTATGTGTAAGAGTCGCCTGGCTGTATGGGACATGCTGTAATAGCAGTAGCCTTGTAACGTTAGTGAGTGTAATAGCTCGGACTGCGAATTGACATACCCCATCATAAATACCAGAACCCTTTTGGAACATGCCATGGAAATGTAATGAAGTCGTTTCATTACCCAAGTTGTTGTGAGCAGTAACCACTATCGTATCGCCCATGTCTGCTTCGATGGTTGGAATTCTAAAATTGTAAGCATCCACTATCCCATCAAAGGTACAGACATACGGCCATTGACCATTGACACCCATAACTGGCCGTGCATAACCATCTGGAGCTGCCTGAACAAGATTAACGTGAAGCTCAATATCATTCGACAGCAGGGTAGTTTACAGTAACCCAGCCGATGCTAAAGTCATAGCTGACTGTCTTCGAGCACACCAAACTAGCGTAGACTGCTGCTAAAAGAAGCCGAAACATGTTTGCTGGAACCCTAACGAATGCAGGAAGCAGACTGCGCAACTCCCGAGCTATATAGTTGCCAACGAGGCGGTTTTGGAAGGCACCCGTCTTTCGTCAGAGCGGCTGGTTGACGTCGTCGATCGGTACAGCGAACATGCCTCAAGCCGCTTACCGATCAGTATCACCAGCAGTCCTTGCCCTTTGCTAACCAAGACTATCTCCTCATCTCTGATGGCGTCTTTCTCATTTCGCTAATTCTCCGCAGGGCGAGGTCAATCTCTCTTCTGATAGGCTTCGCTTGAGCAATTGAGCCTCTGATTGTAGGTGACACGGCAGCTCTTTTCGGCGAGCATGGCCTAAAATGCGTCGTGCATAGGGCTGTGGCGCTTCCGAGTCTCCGAACATGGCATTTCCGGTGGCGTCAAGCATGATCGTACGGTTTGACATTCAATAGTCGCGTTCGATGCTGCGGGTTCGTGAGCTATCAGTGTCGATGACATTGTCGGTGGTCCAGAAAGGATTGACAGCATGCGCTTAATGGAGGAACAGGTTAGCGCTACCTCGATGCAGAAAGCGGCATGAAGATCTCGAAAATGCCGACAGAGGGGTGCCGAAACCTAAATGCACCAACAAGAGATGCTCGTCGTAGATGGCTGATGAATATTCCTTGCAACCTTCGAGAGTGGCGATCTGTCTGTTCTCCGCTGCCAGACAAATATTGCTTCTGCGCCTTCAATGCACCTGAGGCGCTCCCTTCCACAACACGTCGCGTACGACAACTCGAGTCCTTTCGGCTGCACATTTCTCTACCATAGAAAGCCTATAAGGCAGGATTTTCTTCCAGCTTGGAGACTCCCAGGTGTCGAACGGCTCCGAGCAGATGCGAGAAGGCGAGTGGTCGTAGACGATTTGTGTATTTGCGAACAACAACAGGCTCTACTGTGGCGACGGTGGGCATACAAATCGAGAGGATTTTGTCGGAAATACTGATGCAGCGCGATAGTTTGTGTCCACATTCTGTACCTTCAACAAAGCTATTACGTTGAGATGATACCGGGGGAGATGGACATGTGTTACTGCCTATGGGACAGCGTGAATGGAGTGGATGATTGATAGGGCAACATTCACGCAAATGCTTGACTCCCAACACGTGCGAAAGTATGCAAATGAGGACGGATATGTAACAAGCACGCCCCGGGATGACCTACTATGTACGAAGCCTACTCGGAGATGATGAGGTCTAGTCGGAGCCGGCAGAAAAATCTCACATGCGAACGAGGACCGCAACTTCTCCAAACATCATTCTGGCAGGCAATGCAGATGAAGGCACGAACTGCGCCTTGAAACAACGCGTACGTCTCATATATTCAGGCTCAGCGCCCGAATCCTTCGTCAGTATATTTGCTGACATGTCTACGCGTTACTCGCTTGTTTGTTGCAGCGATGCGCTCACCGGAGGGTTGAATGGTTCCGACCCCCGATGTGGCTTGCTTTAACGGCCGCAGTATCGTACTTCACGCCTCAGGCCACGTCACGTAAGATTGTCAGATTGCGCGAAGATTGGTTGCGATAGACGATTTAGGATTCCGTACACCTGGGTTCGAAGTGAGACCGGTGAGCTTGAGCTGTCGAGCGAGACAGTTGGTGTTGCGACTCGGAACGGCGACGCGAACACGACGCAACCTCTTGCGCGAAACCGCGATATTGTCAAAGCAGACAACCTCATGTCTAGTAGCGATCATTCTCCAACGGCCTGGTATCGGGCATCATCAACGTGGTAACAACAACACCAAGCTTTCCCAGGCTCCCGTCATCCTCCGCCCGACCATGCGATAATCGCCGACCCTCCCTGATCCCGCTCCGCCCTTCGCTCCGCCCTTCGCTCCAACATGCGTTTCGCTCCAGAACGCGCATCTCGCTCGCTCAACGCTGCTCCGCCTCCGTTCGCCTTCCTCCCGTGCCTCCCTCGCGCCCCAATCATCTCTGCATGCTGCAGCCCTAAGTTTAGTTCCATCACCGGCTAGACCCGATCGGGTGTAAGATGCGACGGGACTACTCTACACCCTGCCAAGATATCCGACATGTCGCATATCTGACATGATGTATTTTCGCGTCTTGGGCCGGATCGGCCGGATCAGGACGTTTTGCGTTGATGATTGCGTGGGGCTGTGTGTGTTTGGGCTGATGGGGTGGCTTACTGCACTGCTTTACGGCGTTCAGTGCGAGGTGCATATAAGGCTTTTGGCTGACCCTTCACAAGGTCACATCTCAAGAATACCATCGTTTCATAACATCTTTCACTTCGAAAGACGGGCTTGCATTGCTTTCAGACCTTTGCTCTACGTGTCGACGCCCATCTCCGACCTCGCCATGACTGTCCCACCCTCAAACCCCGATTCCTGCTTGTCCTTGGGCCAGGTCATCGACGGCCAACCATGTACACTTGAAGGCACACTATACGGCTACAAGCCCGACCTCGCAGCGAACGCCTTCTTTGCCGCCTTCTTCGCCGTGTGTTTCTTCTGGCAACTATACTGCGGAATCCGCTACCGAACGTGGACGTTCATGGTAAGCTCCCCCAACTCCTTGCACCAAGCAACACCACTAACAATGCTACAACAGATCGGTCTCTGTCTCGGCTGCATCGGCGAAGCAGTAGGCTACGGCGGGCGAATCATGATGTACAACGACGTCTTCGACAACGACGCCTTCATCATCCAAATCTGCTGCTTGATCATCTCCCCCGCATTCGTATCCGCGGGCATATACCTCACGCTGAAGCACATTGTCATCAACTTCGGCGAAAGATGGTCCCGCCTTCCGCCCGTGTGGTACACGCGCATCTTCATCACCGGCGACATTTTCTCGCTCGTTCTGCAGGGCGCGGGTGGAGGTCTTGCGTCTACTGCGGACTCGGGCAGTGATTTGCAGGATGTGGGTACGAATCTGATGATTGCGGGAGTCATCTTCCAGGTCGTTATACTTGCGTTCTTCGGATATTTCCTGACGGAATACGTGGTGCGCACCTACCGCCGTCGCAACCAGCTCTCCGATGAGTCAATGGCGTTGTTCCACAAGAAGAGTTTCCGATGCTTCATGGGCGCGATTGTCGTGGCGTACTTCTGCATATTGGTGCGGTGTGTGTACCGTATCCCGGAGTTGACGGGTGGCTGGAGGAGCGAACTGATGCGCAATGAGCCTGAGTTCATTGTGCTCGAGGGAGTGATGATTGTCATTGCTGTAGCAGTTCTGACGGTATTCCATCCTGGATACTGCTTCCCAGCGCTGGGTGACACGATTGGCAAGAACAAGAAGCATACCAGGGGAAAGAGTATCGAGGACTCTGATATTGAGATGATGAGCACCCGCTGAGTTGGCCTCAGGTTGGAGCCCTTTTTCCTTTGTTTCTTTTCTATTGGCGCACTGTAGGGTATGACCTACAGTAGAATCATGCGTTACGCATGAAGTGATCGATACGTATATCGCCTGAGAGCATTAGCAGTTTAGAGACGATACCAGAACCTAGATAGACAGCTTATAAATCCGCTACCCGCACCAAGATGAGCAATGTGTAAAGTCTTTGAGTAACCCTCATCTTATTTCCTGCATGTGCTGGCGTGTGCAAATCCGACGAACTGAGTCGTGCCAAGCCATTATAGCAGGGTCGTATAGTGTGGCTCACTACATGCTTGTACCTGTACCCTAGGTCTCAGGACGTACTTTCACGTCAGATGCAGCTTAACATCTATCACACGCTGCAAAGCCAGTATTAGACGCAAAATGAGACTTGCACTTGCGCGCGTTTGGTGGACTCTGTTCTTACGTGGGCAATGAGGGTAAAATGTTTGTTGCTTTTGGTAAATGTACTGCTTGGAAATCTTTACGCCAGCGTCGGTGATTTCAGTCTTCTGTGAGACCATTCCTGGCCGGAGGACTCTCTTAAACGTGTTTCGAAAGTACGCTGGCTATAGGGCCTTCCTTTTGTTCGTTGAGCTGCTGGACTGTGTGTGGGCGTGTCGGGCGATATCTATGCTAACTTTGAAAAGATTGGCCGGGCTGCCGATAGATTAGCCCAGTCTCCATCCCTTAGGTGAGCCGACTCAAACACCTATAAGAAAGTTGCTGACGCGCTCGCAATTGCCTTACTTTGCATACTCAGCGTTGATTGTTCTAGAAAGGCTTAGAGACGAGCCGGCGTATGAGAATTTCATGGCGTCGGACAGAATGCGCATGGGTGTTGATTGATTAGGCGCGCTTTAAACACTCTCTTCCTTTTGTCGCTACGACCAGCGTACAGAAGATCGTCTGTCTTAACGATGAGTTCCGAAAAGAGGACGAAACAATGCCTATCATTATCCGCATACAGTCGATGTATGCAAGTGTTTCTACGCTGCATGAGACGATGATGCCCTTATAGGCTTTGGTGCTGTGATGCGGTGGAGAAGGTTGGCTTGCATGCAGCCCCGGGGATGATAAGTCAACTTCTCTCATGTGTCCCGAGGGTACTGGATAGTTTTACAGGTTTTTGGCATGCTTGTGAAGCAGTGGACGTACTCTCGAAGGGTGGGAACACGTGAGTGCCGCCAGCTCGGTAACCCTGCTCCGCGGAGCCTGGGTGCTGAGGCGGAAAGGATCTAACTTCAATCCATTCGTAGATCAATACTTCGTCGATGTACCATAGAGTCATTCCTACTATCACATCGTTAACTGATACATTACGGAGAGACTACGATATGCATGCGACGGCGATATCCATACCTGGCGTATTGTCAAGGGTGAAGCTGATCGACGATCTCTGTAGGCATCGAGATGCGGAAAGCGAGACCATCGACCTCTACCAACAGCACGTCTTCCGTCTTAGCAACGGATGCAAAGAATCCGGCGCTGTTGAGGCCTGCAGGAAGAGCGCGCGTGCCTTGGGTGGAATCGAGAGCTGTGCGACGTGGAGACCAGAGCGGCGAAAGCGGCAGGGCGACGCCATTACGCGCTAAGTATCGCGCGATCGAGACTGTGAGGTGCAGATTCCGTGGCATTAGAGTCGTCCAGAGCAGGCCTAGGCTCGCAGCGCGAGTATACGCCAACGGGAAATGGAGACACGGGACTGGTGAAGGTGAATCCTATGCTTCGAGTACCAAAGAACGCATTGTGGCCCCGACGTCGACAGTGACCGCCTCCACAACCGCCGCCTTGCTCGGATTATGGAGCTCAAGGTGAGAGATGAGATGTGCGTTGCCTTTTATGGCTAGGCCGATTTCTGCTTCGGATATTTCGCCATCGCCTATCAGGGCGCGAGGATACTGATTGCACCTGATGCCTTCGACGACGTGAAAACACTATCCGCCACAGACAGCGCATGCGGTATACAGACACGCCACGAGAATTGAGGGGCGTCACAACGCCGACTGCCATCATCCAGGCTACCCATGGAGCCCACGGAAAGGTGGCAGCCCATTGCTCCGGCCTCGGATGAGCCAAGACAGCAACGCTCAGCACCAGATTCGAAGAGGAGGCGGCAAGCAATTGCTGTCGCATGTGTGCAATGCCGCAGCGGCAAAGTCAAGGTACGTTTCGAGTTGGGTTTGGCGAGGTGCTGCCCGGAGTAATTCGCGACTTTATATCATCCTTTTTCTCGTGTCTTGAGACTAATGTCGCAGTCTGGCCCATGCGTTATATCTGGCTTCTTCTGCAATTTGAGCGCCAGTGGCTGACCCTCTAGTGTGACGGCACCAGGCCACGATGCATGCGTTGTAGCGAGATGGATCTCGCGTGCCACTTCGATGTCGCAGAGGGCGTGAGCAGGGCCGAGCGCATGAGGCTGCTGAAGAGGGAGACGTTGAGTGGTAGGGCCGAGGAGATGGAGCGCGTAATCCAGGCACTGCGCACAAGTTCCGACGATCAGGCTTCAGCCATCCTAGCCCGGCTGCGAATCGGAAACCGCCTGGACGAAGTTGTCAAGACGCTACCTCCAGTAGTGAGCAATCCTCCCAGGTATGCTTCCCGTTGCCCAACGGCTATCAGGCGTCGCGAGATGGTAACAAGAGTCCAGCTTATCTGCTCAGGACCTCGCAGGTGCTTCTATCAGCTATGCCAGCGTAGATCCGTCTATCGCTTCGAGCGACGGTAGCAGCTCCGTGTACGGACGGTATTCTAGCGCGCCTCATTCGCCCAACATCACGCTATCCAGCTGGTCCGGCATTTCCTCGCAAGCTGCCTCTGCAAAAGGGAAGCAGCCAGCGTCTGCAAGGAACGCCCAGGAACCGCCTTTTCTATCCATCTTATTCGACCGAGCCGACTGCCTCGGAACCATCAGCGACGAGGGCGAAGACGAAGACGACATGTATTTGGCAGGCTTCATCGATCCGCAACTGTTACTCCAATCGAACCCGCTCGATGCCCCCGGTGCGTCTACTGGTTCGCCCACAGGGAATACAAGAAGTCTGCATCAGAGCCCCAAGGACGACTTCACCCCACATAGCTTCTTGACTCACTGGAGTAAACGCCAACCCATCGTCAACGCAATCCGCGTACATCCCAACCTCAACCTCCGCAACCTCTTTGGCAATATGCCGTTCTCTAGCAGTGTACGAGCCAACAACTATCCCTTGGGCATCCAAAATGCACAAGTGAACAACCTCTTCCTCCCTACCTGGGCTATGATGACTGTCAGTACAAGACCAGATCCCGGGTCGCTCAAGGAGGCATTTCAAAGCTTACACCGAGACACTGCTGTCATGATAGAAAGTGGTACCCCCGTGGAGGTGATTATCGAAACACATCCGAACATTGCAGCTTTGTTCGACGAGAACGAGTACAATAACTCCGGTGTACTCAGCAAGTGGTCCGCTGCCATGATCCATAGCGCACAGCACAAAGGTACGTCGGGTTGACCAATCTTGTCGTCCCATTCCCTCAAAACGCATCTCGGGTATACATGAGCCATGCTAATTCCATTTTCCATAGGTCATGACTTCACTGCCTGGGCGGCAATGTACAGCACCTGGTATCTTGCGAGGTGGATGGTCTCGCCATCGCCAGAGACCTATGAGGCCATGCCAGAGTGGTTGCGACCGACGTAAGCCTTCCATGGAACAAACCACATACCACAATCGCTAATACCACTGCAGGCCGAACCAACTCTTCATGCCGCATATCAACATCCTCGACTATGTCATATGGCCCGCCTTTCGCGAATTCGCAGTCCAGATACCGCAGATGCACGAGCACATGGAGTACATGATGGACATGTGTATAAACATATCTTGTGACTGGCGCTTTGGACACGAAGAGGCTCTGTGTCGCAATGAGACGACCGGCATGCTGGATTTGTGCGACATGGCAAAGGTGAGTAAACGGCACGTGTCATTGGCACAGAAATAGACAACCATCACTGGTTTAATGACGAGTTGCTAACTGTGCTAGACCACGATGAGAGACCTGGCTAGCTGGTCTCTTGGGCCGTCTTTCCGACAGTATGTCACGAACGCCGACACCTATGTACGCATTAGAGCGGAAGAATTTTAATGATCATTATACGATGAACGATTGTAACGACTGACGACGAGCCACCTTTCGGAACTTCGTCACGGCGGCTACGAGTATACCCTATGCAAGGAACACCATGAAGAATACACTTAATCACAAAAGCAAATGAAAAGAACCAACTTCCATGTCACTGTTCACCTCCCCGCCATGGCTGGTATAGATCACTGTTCGTTTCTCATTCATAAGCAATCTTCCAACCTTAGCCCGCACTTATCAATCGCATCAACCTTCTATAATTACACCGTTGAAGTGACACTTTCATTTTACTCACCCAACCTTTTGTACACCATCCCAGTCGCCTGCTACCCAACCGCCAACAAAACAAACGAATCCGCAATCCCTCACAACCACACCTGCGCTATCCCAACTGATCCAAGCGTCACCCTCGAGCACCACTTCCTTGTGCGTGCAGACGATTTCAGCCGCGATTAGAAATCCGCCATCCCAGCCCGTTATAATACAAACAGCAACGTCGTTCCAAGGAAGCCAAACGGCAGGGCAATTAAATTGGCTTCGTATTCGTGGGCTGCGCCAAGAAGGCGTATGAGAAGCAGGGTCTGTCTGAGACTGGCCGTGATGTGATTGCTGGGTTGGAGAGTGCAAAAAAGAGTTATTGCAAGGAGTGCGCCTGTAGTGATGCTGGAGATGCAGATGTTGGTCGTGAGCGCCGGGGTGAGGAAATTGTAGAGACCGTGCTGTGGATCATTAGATTATTCTTTTCTCATGTAAGAACTGCCCAGGTGAGTGCGCCACAAGAGATATGTTCAGGCGAGCGAAATAATGCTGTCGAGCTAACATAGCAAACAAAAGGTGCAAAAAGATAGACAAAAACATAGAACGGCGGGCATTCACCGATGGTCACCCACCTGACTACCAATCCGCCGGCACCTAGGCAAAGCCTCGTCGTGAAAAACCACGCTACGAGCAATTAAGCGCCCATCATATTTACAGTGCTTGCTTGATAAAGACTTGAAATCGGGGCAGGAACTTCGCCAAGAGCTGGAGTCTTCCACGCACGGCTCGCTTCGATGCCTCTGGCGCTCCGCAGTTGACCAGCGATCTTGAGCATTGTCCTTGGCGCCTTGTGCCGCATCGAAGTTACCTTGGTTCCAATGGGCTGACATGTACCCGAACTGTAGAGCCAAAGAACTGGCATCTGGTGTGTCTGGGTAAGTATAAGTGGCTGGCACCGACGCGAGAGTAGAATGAGAGGCCCCAGTCTGCGACATTGCTGCAGATGCTGGAATACTGAACTACTCGTTGGAAGCAGTTGTTAATCATGCCTGGGTTACTGAGTACTGTGGTGACGTTGGAGACATCTGATTGGGGTACTGAGTGTTGTTCGTGGAGAGAAAAAGCGGCTGGAAAGTTCATGTCGGTTGCGGAGCGTTGCGCAGGTAGTCCATCGATGTGCTTTGATATATCTCTACAAAGGCGGGAGATTCCAAGAGAGGTAGTTGAGAAGTCTGAGGTGGTTTAAGATTGGACGGATCTCCGCCCCGTGTCGGAGTGCGACTGTCGCCTGCGCACGATTCCGCACTAAGTTTCAAGGACGTGTTTGATGCACTGGCATCGCCGACGACTTTTCCAGAGAGCCGATTCGATTCACATGTTGTAGCATCACACTACTCAAGTCAACGAGTTCAACTAGATGGCCGGTAGCGTTAGGCTTACTGTCACCTTTCTCTTTTTATATTACGAGCATGTTTGCCCACGCGTCATTTTAGCCTGTGCCCTCGTCTCCTCAACTAGAGGTCCCTTGCATCGTCCGCGTGCTTTGGATTTTGATCCCTGCGTAGTATTGAAGGTAGAAGACAGGGTGGGTGAGGCTGGCGAAGCGGGGTAAGAAGGCTGGAATATGTGCGAGGCTGAGCTCGGGCTTGATATCGAACGCTCGGTTTGCCAGAATTCTTGGAGAGCAGCTTTCATCCAAGCCTCCTTAGCCTCAATAGTGTGGAAAGCGTAGTAAATCGTACAGTTCCGTAGACCCGTGGAGAGTTTCTCACTCCAGTTTGTCTTTGGCAATCCGAGTAATGGTGTATCGAGGAGCAGCAAGACCACCCGAAGTGACATCTCCATCAATACTGGACATGGCTGCGGCCGTCTAGAGACATTGTAACTGACTACCGAGTGAAGAGAAGAAGAGGCGCCGATTTGCGGCTTTCAACATATGCCAATGGCAGGTGGCTATGTTCAATCCTCAAAAGACCGGCTCCAAAGCACGTTCACATCATGTCACGGGGTGGCAGCTGATTCCAATTTAATCATAAAACAGGAATATTCAGGATATCATTTCCGTACGCATCGAGCAGAGCCACGGTGACTCATCGTCGGTCAGGATGTACGCGGGAGCGAAGCGGCTCTGCCCAGGGAAACACTTCCGAATTGCAGTAGCCGTGCCTCCACCAATTTTCATTGTTATAGATCGCTTTCCCGTAAGTTTACTACATATGACATGCGCGAGAAAGGGATAGCGAGAATTTTGGTAAGCCGACCCCACAGAGCGTCAGCAGCACGAGACCATTAAAAGACGAAAGCAGACAGTTCTAGTCAGACTAGGGGCCATAAAATAGTCCTTATCAAGCCATACACTAGTCACTAAACTGAATGCAGGATCTCCTTTCGTAGCCTCGCCCGCTGACGGCACCTTTCGACTAGCCACTAACCGATGACCAGATCATTCAGGAATATTCCTCAGTATACCTTGTAATTGGAACTAAGCGCTGGCAATGTATGAACTACAATCTGGGCTTTTGGTGGGGGTCTCGGTGGGGTTCAGCCTCGTGCTTCACATCGCACATACCGAACTGAACTCCGGCGGCTGAGCACTAAATGCAGATCAGGTGGCAGTCGTGTGTACTCCACCCTATTCTCGCAGTATTTTCTATCGCCTTTGTTCATAAATAATACTCTGTCACTCTTCACTGTTCCTACCATCCCATCAACACGTCTTCATTCGTTTAGTCCTTTAACGGTTTACAGCCAATTTTCCAAAATCATGGCAGCAAGGGAATCTTTACTCGGATGGAGTTTGCCTATCAGCCCGCAAGATTGCGCTGCGGTGAACCATCCCATAGCCTGCAACTTCCAGCTTTACAACAACGCCTCGAGCCTCACCGAGACCCAGAAACTCGCACCCAACAACGACATCACCGGCAGAGCCGCAAGCATTCCCACTCCCATGCTCACGTATACCGAGCTAACACTTCCACAGATCATGTATGCCTTCTTATGGAGCAGCATCACTGCCCTCGTGCCCTCGACCCTCCTGATCTATGACCGTTTTCAGTGGCATTTCCGAAGCCACAGCTTCAGCGAGAAGCACAAATACCTCTGCAGCATCCACGCTCTACAGCGCCTACTTCACGGGATCAGTGACCACCAGCTCATCGCCGGCCTCGCTCTGCTCGCCACGCTAAACAACCAAGCCTGTTCCATCTCCGCTTACCATTACAATATAGTGTGCACAATGCTGATCCTCAGCGCCGTCACACATCTCAACTCGCTGCTCAGTATCCAAGACTTCATCCACAAAGGCCGTATTGTGGCCTTAGTCCGCGTCGCTGCGATCACAGCGCAGTATGGCCTTTCGGCGATGGTGCTCAGCGGACGCAATGCTAAAACGGGCCGCGGGTTTCCGATGACCGCTGGGTCACTGGGGATCATGCCGGCACCGTGCTTTTTGAACCTTAATGCGTCGAGTTACTTTGGCTTCGGCGATGCTATTGATGCGGCGGAGAACTTCACAGCGACGGCATTTGGATCCGGTAACGCGACTATGAATGCTACAGCCATGATGGACGATACGTCTGATGGCCTGAAAATGTCGCCATTCTGGCAATATGTCTTGCTCGTCGTAGTTTTGGGCTTTGCCTTGGTGTTCGTAATCGCCGAGGGGACTCACGCGTGGTACAAGGATAGACAGGAAGGCAACAAGCCCCCGCCACCGAGTAAGATCATAAGTGCGATTGGCATCGTCCTTTCAGCAGTCGGTTTATTTGCCAGCGCCGCGGTCTTGATCCTCGTTTACATACAGTACGAAAATCTCCGAAGAGGCATGGAGATCTCCGCATGGTACCAAATCCATCTCGCCGAGCGGCAATCCTGGAGCTACTCGGAGTTCATGACAGTATTCCTGATCACGAGTGCATTGTTACACGGCGTGAAAGCCTTGAGTGGTATGTTAATATCGAAAAGTCGGTCAATCGCGACGTTTGCTGACATTTTGTCCCCACTAGAATCGCTCCTCGGACATAAAGGTCGGCGCTTTGCGACAGAGGCAAATAAGGAATACAATCGAGTTGGCAGAATGGTACCGGACGATGAACAGGGAGAGAAATATCTGGATGAATAGTTGCCTAGGCACACGAAGCAAGATCCAAGATTGATGAGAAGGCCAGGTAGATGGAGGAGACTTAGCTTTCGGGCAACTCAGCTCTCTTACAGCGGGCTTAGAAACTTTTACTTTGTATAGAACATTGATTGCAGTGGAGGAATTCGGATTGTATTCTGGTCTGCATCTTTTTAATCTCTACTCAGACTCTTCATTGAGTCTTTTTAACACCTTCAAGTCGCAAAAGCAATGAGATATATGGCAAAAACGTGGAATGAATAGTAAATGATGCAATCACATCGCAGGGAGGGGTGAAAGGCGCAAACGGGCTAGCGCCCGGCCCGTGCGATAGCATGTCCGCGCCTCATTGTACGACTCTCCATTTCATAGTTCCAAGCACCGAGTGCATCATCTGTCCCTACTCGAAGTCGCAACCGGGTAAAAGCTTCAGACAAACCAACCTATGCGCTTGAAAAATCGCTCTGGTACAAAATGAATTCAGAGCTCTTCGACGTCATTATCGTCGGAGCAGGCAAGGCAACAATGAGTTTAGAACGTTTGTGAGTTCGCTGACCACTTTCAGGGCTTTCCGGTCTCGCGGCTGCGCGATTCTTTCTTGATGTGCACCCAGAAAGTTGCGTCTTGATATTGGAGAAAGAGCAGTCGGTTGGTGGACCTTGGGGCAGAAGTCGAATATACCCAGGGTTCTGGTCGCAGAGCGGCATTCGCATGTCGGGCTTCTCGGATGTGCCTCTGACTGTCCCGCAAGACGCTGAAGTTTTCAACGACATTTTTGAGGCAAAGTACGTGACCGACTATCTGGAGAACTATCTCGACAACCATGTGTACTCCGGCACGCCTTTGCGCGAGCGCGTAAGAACCGGCTTCGTCGTCTCCAAAGTTGATAAATTGCACGACATCTGGACGGTGAATGGCGCGCTCCTTGCAGATAGCGTTCAACAGTCCTTCAAGACCAAGCGAATCATCATCGCCACAGGCATGACATCTGCACCAAAAATGCCAAAATTCAAGGGGCAGGACCAATTTGGCGGTCCAATACTGCACCAAAAAGACTATGGTCAATTTCTGTCCGCGCGACCTTCGGATCACGGCAAAGTCGCTGTACTGGGCGCGGGAAAATCTGCGGCGGACATGGTGTACGGTCTTGTGAAGGCGGGAAACGAAGTACATTGGATAATTCGAAAATCTGGCAAAGGCCCAGGCGCATTCACCAATCCAGCAGAAAACGCCAAGGGGCCGTTTCTTAATGACCCAGAACTTGCAGCCACTCGACTATTTGGGACCATGAGTCCATCGTGCTTCAATCAGCCAAATTTGTGGACCCGGTTCTTGCACACCACGTCGATAGGCGAGAAGATTCTTAAGGGCGTTTGGAACGGCGCGGATGAGAAGTGCAAGCGGATAGGAAACTTTCACGGCCGTCAAGGAGCACTCGAAGGTTTTGACCACTTAGAGAGTGACGTGAAGTAAGTCTGTAATATTTACTGAGCGATTACCTTGACTAACGCCATTGTAGCCTCTTCTGGTGTACCGGACCCTTTGGCATGATCCAAAGACCGGATTTCTGGGATATCGTCGCGAAAAACGTCCATGTTCATCGCAATGATATTGAGAGTCTAGCGCACCACATGGTCGTACTCGAAGACGGACCGTCCCTACCCATGAATGTCATAGTATGTGCAACTGGGTTTGTCAACGAATACCCATTCTTCAGCGCCAAGCAACGAGTGACTCTTGGTCTATCGCACCCAAAATCAGATGATGCAGGTGAGAACGAGTGGTCAGCTCTTGAAGCCGAAGCAGATGATGAAGTCCTTGCACTGTACCCGAAGCTAGCATTAGCCCCAAATCAAGACCTAAGCGATCCCCCCACAAGCAAGACGCCAAATCGCCTCTACAACTGTATCACGCCACTGGATGACCATTCTGTCGCTTTCGTGGGCAACATCTACGCACCAAACGGTTTTCGTACAGCAGAGGTTCAAGCAATCTGGACAACAGCTCTCTTCGACGAATCGCTGCAACTACCTTCGGAAGACGCTATGCGCAAAGACGTGGCATGGGTGAATGCTTTCATGAAGCGTCGGTATCCCACACATGGGGCGGGTGGGAACTACCTCCAGTACGATATGATGGGCTACATTGACCGGCTGTTGCAGCAGGTTGGGCTCACATCACATTTAAAGGGATGGTGGACCAACCTGACGTTCCCGATGATTGCCAAGGACCTGAGTGGTACTACGAAGGAGTACATCGAGAAGTACGCGGCACAGCGGAAGGGATTGGAATCTGAGTAAGCCAGAAACTCACTGGAGTCGTATATGACGGTTAACGGCACGATACGGGCATCACATGTGCAAGAATAGATACACTAAAGAAAGTTTGATCAAGATTTAGCCGTGTCATGAACATGTAAGCTGAACCCGAACCACATTTCACGCGCTATAGAACAACTTGCGATCGTCCAGATGCAGTTCTGAATGCAGGTAGATACGGTGGTTGGTTTGTCGGGCTCCGAAAGGAACGCCAATGGAATTTTTGCGTGATTGTGTCCACACCTGAACATGTATGCGAATCAGTAATGTGCAAGGATATCAGACATCACTAGGCTTGTTGCAGGTGTTTTGGAAAGAGTCTTGAAGCGTTTTGGAGTTAGGCTGGTTTAATTCCAAATGCATGCGCCACGCCCTCCGAGGATTGATATTCTGCGTTCGGATACTATGCTTCATGTTCACATTTTCACAGCTTGAGTTGCAACATAGCAATTTTCACCATGTTGTTTCCTCTACTTTTTCTATTCACTCTCGCTACCTTTCTCCGCACAACACACCTCCTGTATCGCCGCTTCTTCCACCTGAACCGCTTCAGAGGCCCTGCACTCGCTGCGTATACGCGCTTATGGCTCGCGCGCACGTACTCTACTGAGAAGGCAATGACATGTTTTTCGAACTCAAAAGATGTATGATGCGTCGATGCCATATTTCCAACACCATCTCGTCTCCCCATCCTTCCGCTGACATGAATTCCCGCGCCAGGCAAATGCCCGCGCCTCGAACCCAATCTTCTTCCCACAGATGATCCGAACGTGCAGTAGCGGATTCTCGCACCACACGCAAGATACGTGCGCAGCTCGTGGCTCGACTCTCTGCGACTCGATCCGCATTACACCCGCATCCTCAAATTTTGTATCAAAAGTTTTTCGAATTTGCGAATCTATCGACTCCAGACTGCTGCTGTTGTTCTCATTTTAATAGTACAAACAGGGCAATAAAGGCGAATCGAACGATAACAAATTCAGTAATTTATGATTCACCAGCCAACCAGTCCGATTGTGTACATATCGGGGTTTTTCAATATTTCTTTTTTCTTCTCTTTCAACTCATCGACATCCCAGTTCGCATGAACAAACCGTCCATTCAGGAATCGAGCCTCTGGGCTGAGCGACCAGACGATGAAGTCACCAGCAAGCGTTTCTGTTTTGACATATAGTCAGCCATCAACTTTCAACAAGTCGCCTTGCATAGAATATCGAACTAACCGTCATCAAACTCCAGGCCCTCCGTCATATGACTGAACTTGGAATGCATCTCCGTGCCTCCAATCAGCCCTGGGTGAATTTGCAGAACAAACATCTCCGGATGTTCGTTCCCGTAGAGCTCAAATAGCTTCGTAGCGCCGGCTTTGGAAGCGCGATAACTCGAAAACTCGGGAATGTAGGGGCCGTGCATGGAAGACGACGACACGTGGATCACGGATCCTTGACGGCCCTCGCTTCCGGATGGGGCATATTTGAGATACGCGCGTAGGAGGTGGAAGTTTCCCTTGACTGCATTGAAGAATTAGAAAACAGGGAGGGAGCGAGATGAGCGATATACCGTTGATCTCAAAGCCCTTCCACCAATCGTCTACGTCAACGCTATCAAGTGAACCGAGATCTGCCATATATCCTGCATTGGCGATTAACACATCGATAGGTCGCTCTCCACCCATATCAGCGACGAAATCCACAAAGCCCTTCTCGACAGCTTTTTCATCCACAATGTCGACGGTATAAGTGAAGATGTTACACTCGGGCGCGAGCTTCGCTAGCTGAGCCTGAACGGAAGCTAAAGGACCCGGACGTCTCCCCATCAAGGCCAGGTAGTCGATGCCCGAACGTACCAGTGAGTGCGCGATATTTGCGCCAATGCCTTGACCTGCACCAGTCACCACGGCTGACTTGCCCTTGGTGGAAAGTGACGTCTGGGTGGCATCGATGGCAGGATATGTCGTTCGTCTGTATGTCTTTGTACCGCGCGCGATCTCAGATGCCGACATTGTGAAGGATCTGTGTTGTTGCAGCAGGCAAAGGAAGAGTACTTTGTATTGAGGGACCGTAGATTGATGTGTAATGATTTGGTTGATTAATCAGCATGTGCTTCTTCAGCGGCGTTACGAAAGTCTTGAATTCATGTTCCATGACTCGGGATGCAGGGCCAAAGGATCGCTTCTGATCCTTGTCAGCTGGTATGCAGGTAAGTGCAGTTCAACGTACGTACCACAGAGCGTCGAAGATAAGCGCTAAAAGGGTTGATATTATGCGCGCGCTTGGAATTTACGCGTGTCTTATCTTTCGTGATCCTATACAGATCAGTACACCGTTAGGCATTCCCGAGGTCCGCGTTGGCATTCTTCCACTTCGGGTGCAAGGTAAACTTGGCAACCTTGTTGGGAAAGAACATAGTATCCACTAGGAAGTGGAGCCTGAGAATTTCGCAATGGGGGCTTTCATGGAAAGTTATCGCCACTGTAAGGATATTGAGAAGTCAGGCACCTGCGATGCTGAGTATTGAGCGACGTATCTTTTTGTTATTGATCAATATGCATCTCTCGTTCCACGCCGGCAACGCTGCATTTGTCGGGTAAAGCACTGTTTCCCTAGTACAAAGCACACAGGTCGCGCTCGAAAAGTGGCCAGCCTTCTCGACGAAATCAACTAGATGTCAATCTTTATCTGACTACGAAGCTTGGGCCATTTCTAACGAAAGAGATCCATGGATGTTTTGGACAACACATCAAAGGTTTGATTTCACTGATATAGCTCACCGCTCCCCTACGGCCATAGATTCAGACAAAGCGAAAGTCGACATGCCTTCTGAAAATATCCTCCATCTGAACGATCAAGCACATTAAGATTGCTGGAAGGAGCTTGGTGCCCATATTTAGGCTGCGATAGTAACGCATTCTAATGCATTTCTAGATGTCCATCTTTTATGTCGCTATTCATTGAAACCATCCGCTTGAAATACGCAAATTTGAACTTCATTATCATCAAGGGAGTATCTTGCACGACACTAGAATTATCTGGAAAGCACTGCCTATGGTAAGTAGCCAATCGACAAAGCCAAATACCCGTAAACTGATTGGTCTGATTCAAATAAGGCCCCTCGGTAATGCATCATGCCTGGCGACAAGGGGGGGGGCTGGCTGTAGTGCATCTACTGTGTACCCGACCTCAAGGTAGTCTTTTCGCCCCCACGGTCACAGCACCCTTCAACACTTGCAACTCACAGTATGAAGCTGCTTACTTATTTTCCTTCCGCTGATATCTTGAGAAAATCTTCTGTAGTTCTCGATAATTTGCTTCATTGCCTCATTGTAGGACAGTATCTCACAAACTGCCTTGCCCTACGTATGCGCACGCTAAGCCTCAACGAATCAAGCTACCGGGAGAAAGGCTGTGAATTTAGCCCAAACCAATAGGGGATTTCTGTTTGATAGTCCCCATGAGGATGCTGCTGTGTAACCTCGGAACGTCAGCAACGTTGGAATACATATCACACGGCCCAACTCCTTTTTTCGACCTTCCCATAGCTATGATAGATCAACACGCATACACTTTAATATAAATTTCTCTTAAGAGCACTAATTCTATATGGAAATACAGAATAAAGGCTGGGTTAGCAGGACCAGAAATCGATTGTACACCAACACGTCTCGAAGCACAAGTTGCGACGGGTTGTGACCAGGAAGAGGATGCGCCTAGCTTGAATAGAAAAGGTCGCGCACAGATACATTCCTTTAATGGGAGTATTAGACCTTGCAAGAAGACGATTGGAAGCATATTTGGTCTTTATTTAGGAGGCATGTTGAGGTCGGTCTAACTAGCTGAAGTCACGTTTGCTAACCGGGCTACAGCACTACTATGCAGCATCTCGCACTACGTCTTCTTTGACCGACTTCACGGCTCTATAGCCAGTGGCGAGGACGCTGTAATGTCTCAATCTTATGCCACATTTGTCTCGCTACTTCTTGTCACGCTCTTCAAGGCTTCTCTGCTTGGCTGTGCGGGCATTTGCTCTACCCAGTATCTCTGGCGAGTATTGCGAGGCCCACCAATCACGGTATCCACGGTAGAGAGCCTCTTTCAGATACGGCACAATCCGCTCGAGCAATTCTGTTTCCGAACAATCATATCGGTGTCGTTCTTGCTTGCGGCGTACGCCTGGACAGTGCCTTTGGCAGCTATGTATCCGCCAGGTGCTCTCACGATTAATGCCACCCCTTTCTTACTTACAGAGAGTGTGAGCATGTCAGTGCCCGACCTGCGATTCAATTTGGATTTCGACCCCCTCCAACCAGCCAATGTTTCCCGCCTGTCATATTTTGCTCGCATCGAGCACACGAGAGTGCGCGAGAGTAACAGCCTAACGAATGCAGAAACAGTTAACTTGTCAACAAGCCTACACCCTATAAATCCTCAAGAGTTCCTTCTCCGGTTCTCGCGATCTGTAATAGCAGCCGGCGAAATAATCCTGAATCCCCGAGCAACGATGGGAGAGAACTCTACTTACACACTGGAATTCATGGGTCCGCAGATATCTTGCCGGGATATGGAGCAGTTTAATCGCACGCACCCTGAAGAAGGAGTTTTTACAGACCTCATGTTAGGCGAAATCGACCCTAGTCTTAGCCTATCTGATAAAGCTGTCCGGATGAGTGCCATGGAACATGCGTACTACAACAGAACCTATGCATGGCAGATCATTCAAAAAAATATGCTCGGTGGTATATCGTGCGGAGAATCCAATCCAATGTCTCGGGACGACGATGGTACAGCTTATGTTGCGCCAGCTAAAGATCCACCATCCTCTGCAACGTTCCTACTCGAGACTTCGAAAATAAATTGCACAGAAAAATACGTGAGTTATGTCGCAAACATTACCTACAGAAATGGGATTCGATCAATACAGTATACAATACGCGACATAGAACCCCAACCAGCCAAGGATCTACTCATTGAGATGGTGTGGGAGGCAGCTAGCAATATTCTTGTTCCGGACGACATACAGCCAAGGAATGCGGGAATAGATGAAGCTTTTGCCGCTTCCGCATATTCTCAGCGTTCTCGAGAATATTTGGAGGAGAGATTTCGATATTGGAACGCGTTCACAATCTACGCCGCTTTTCTAAATACTATCGAGTCCGCAACGACGCGGGCTTGTTTTTTCTTTTTGAAAGATCCAAAATGTAACGAAGTCGAGACGAGGGGTAATTTCTCTGAACTGGTGGTACATCCAATCGACTGCCTCAAACATTACACAAGTAAGTGGATCGATGCCCGTCTCTCAACAAGTGGGAGGTTTGTCCGCTGACACAAGTAGCTCCTTCTGTACTCGAAAATTCGAGATTAAATCCCCATCGGTATTCAGAATCGCCAAAAGAAGAACCTGGAAATTCGGGTCTGAACGTCACGGAAGCCGCTCTCAATGAACTATTGACGAACATCACGATATCGCTCATGACGCTCGATCTCTGGACTGATAACATCAATGTAACCTCGACTACATATCGAAACACGTACGCTTTCTCGCGCAGGATAAATCTTGTTCTTCCGTACGCGCTCTGTCTCGCTTTCGGGCTACTCATTGTCGGATTGGGCTTAGTCTCTCTCTGGCAAAATGGAGTGCCGTCGAGTGATGGCTTCACGCAAGTTATGATGGCAACAAGAGGACGGACAGAAATAGATAGACTAGTGCTTGAGCAAGGCTTGGTCGATATTAATGCGGCATCAAAAGAACTGAAGGGCCTGAAGGTGCGATACGGAGAACTGGTAATGGAGGACGCGGTGAAAGGAGAGAAAGTCTGGGGTTTTGGGACAGCGGAGGAGACGGTATCTTTAAGGAAGAGGAAGTGATGATATCAGGGTCGAAGTGAATGTGGAGCATGACAGTTGTATCGGAATGCCTATCTTCTAAGCACTTGAAGAGATATCGGGGTCGCTGCGATTGTTCGTTTCTCGTGTGTATCGTTTTGAGCAAGTCGATTTCCTTCATCGTGAGTCTTACAAAAAACAGCGCTCCCAAGAAACATCCGAACGAAAATCGATATAAATAGAGAGACGAGAAAGATTCGGTAGGGTAGGGCAGGGCACATGACGAGCGTGACTGAGTTTGTTGTGGGGAAAATTCGCAGTGAATATGGTTGTACCTGCGGAATCTTGTATCAGGTTTGATGAGTGCAACGCGAGGCGAGCGGCTTTCGTAGAAAATGTACAACTGTGGCGATCAATCCTCATCGATTGGTGACAAGGGGTGCTACCGCTATCAGCGCATCTAGTGTAGCAAATGTTGTCACTGTTATAGAATTCAGGATTAGACTTGATTAACTGGTGCAGGCAGACCTGCTACCATCATTTCTGTTACGCCAAACAGCAAACCTAGACCTCCTCCATCCACAATCACCCATCTCAGTGCGGAGGATCTCAGCCTTGTTCTCTGTGTCGACAAGGTCCGTGGCACAGATGACAGAGGTCGTCAGGTAAAACATGACCCACGGATACTTGGAGTTGATGTAGTGCTGGATGCAGTATTGTCAGGCGTTGGCTGATGATGGTCGATCGAATGCTATGTCTTGATATCGTCTTAGTGAGTGCTCAGTTCAAACTCATCGCAAAACATCCGCATTGCATTCCAGCGGTACACACATCCTTCCCACGTCACGAAATCGAGCCCCGTCCTGCCGAGACTCTTGATCGCCGGCATGGGCCATGCACAGTAGTGCATCTGGATCGAGCCTTTTGCAAAAATCGCGCTGGGGTTCTTGTTCTTAAACGTCTGCGCGAAATCTCTCAAGCAACTCTTCAATGTATGCATGAGATGCATGCTGGACGAAGGCTCTAAGCTAATTGGACGGTCCGTACAACCAGCTCTTTTGTTTATAAGCCTGATATTGGATGCCAACCGCTCAGTCCATTCACAGTGAGTTCTGCCAGACTCCCCTGGACTGTCGAGACGTTTGGTTTTGTCCTTCTTTCTTGGTTGGTGAAATAAAGCGCGAGAATGCGCGAACTGTGCCGCACCCTTAGGGCAACAGCCGCACTCGCCGACTTGGCTTACTATCGATGCGCATCAAAAGTCCATCTTGATCGGTGAAGGAATAGTGCCCAAGGTATATTGCGCAAAATCCAGGCAGTGGATTCGAGCAACGCGCTCGTGCAAGCTGTTGGTGGGAAATTTTGTTGGTCGTGTGCCTTTCTCGATGTTGGTTCGAAAGCTCATGTCGCGATGTCGCGATGACATGACAGAGTCCGACACGGATGGACATCTTACTGTCCAGCTTTACGGCGCCATTGAGACTTATCCACATCAACTCAAAACTCTTTGTCACACTGTCCCGTGTCCACAATAATCTCGTGTGGTTTGAAGGTGATGATTACGCGCCCATGGCAACAGCAGAAAGCCGGTAAGCGTTGCCGCATATGGCTTCCCTGCGTCACTATTCGATGAACATATCACACCTTCTTAAAACGATGAACCCTGGAACTTGGTGAAAACAGGGAAATCTACTCTTTTGCCTCTCGATGCTGACTTCTGCTCGCAATGTCAGTATATAGAGTAGGCTGCTTTAATGAGGAACAAGATCTTGACCCCGAAAGATGAGGATACATCGACGGCCTTAGGACTTCCCTTAATCATTGGAGTCCTGCTATTTGATGAGCCAATGAGCTCAGCCTGGCTGTTCCAATTATCTAGTGCTGAATCGATGACATTTACAGCGACATTAGGTGCTGCAATAATCCGTGCGCGTTGTCTGAAAACTATCAGCACTGTCCAGACGCAGCTGAGTCAAAATGTCGAATTTGAAGGCCATTTCCGCACTTCCCTGCGTATTGATAAGGCGTTGATTTTCCTTAAGCCCGTATATAAGATCGCAGTTGCTCTCTAATAGTAGGATGAGTTGAGACACGCGAAATGGATGTGGAGCGCGACTGTGGCGTCTCCAGACTCCAGGCGATGATGCGTTCGCGACTTCCCCACATTTCGGCATACCGAATGTGGAACACGCGCCTGTCAGTGAACCTCGGCCTTGCATTATTGGAGGCATCATGAACCTCCAATATCTCGGACTTCCCACCGCGCATGCCATCTCTTGCACTTTACAAAGAGCTTCAGTTCCTCACATCTAGCTAATTGCAGTATTACTGAAGTCATACAATTGCATATCGACGGTAGTCCTTTGTAGCTACGCCTCCATACGTCACACGCGACCCCCGCCCGTTTCCCCGCAAACCGAAGCTCGCGATATTCAAACATGGTGATTTCTACAGCAATTCGGATAGCGCCCTCGCGTGCAGCACGAGCACTCAATCTCCTTCGCACCGTGCAATATACACATCCGCCATCATGTCCCTGCCATTCGAATCCGAACTACCACCAGCAAACACCTTCCACGATCCAACAAGCACGCCGACACCTCGCGACCCCAATTGACCATTCACAACAAAAGGAATATGCATTTGAGATGGCTGCATCAAGTATACGCTTTGGTCCTGGCTGCACAAAAGAAGTTGGCATGGACTTCAAGAACATGGGCAGTAAACGCGTCATGGTGGTGACGGATCCGAATGTGAGGAAGCTAGACGCCATGAAGCAAGTCGTTGAAGGATTGGAGAGAGAAGGCGTGCAGTATGAAATATATGACAAAGTACGAGTCGAGCCCAAAGACCATTCCATCAAGGAAGCCATCGCCTATGCTCGACCATGGAAGCCCGACGCCTACCTCGCCGTCGGAGGCGGCAGCGTCATCGACACCGCCAAATTGATGAACCTGTATACTTCGTTCCCCGAAGCCGATTTCCTCGACTTTGTGAATGCACCCCTCGGCAAGGGAATGCCCATCCCCGGAAAACTCTTCCCCCTCGTCGCTGTCCCCACAACAGCAGGAACTGGCTCCGAAACAACCGGTACCGCCATCTTCGACCTTGTTTCCAAGCGTGCGAAAACCGGAATCGCTCATCGGAACTTGAAGCCTACGCTGGGCATAGTCGACCCTTTGAACACACGCACCATGCCCTCTGCTGTCCACGCATCCTCTGGCCTAGACGTCCTATGCCACTCCCTCGAATCCTGGACCGCGATCCCATACTACGAGCGCACGCCGCGTCCCACTAACCCCATCAATCGTCCAGCTTACCAAGGCGCGAATCCCATCTCCGACATCTTCTCGCTAAAAGCGCTCAAGGACACCGTCAAGTACCTTCCTCGCGCCGTCAAGAACCCGGACGACCACGAAGCGCAGGCCCAAATGCTACTAGCTGCGACGCTCGCTGGAGTGGGATTTGGAAATGCGGGCGTCCATCTCTGTCATGGCATGTCGTATCCCATCTCAGGCCAGAATCCGGGGTACAAACATGCCGGATACGACGTCGATCACACCATCATCCCGCACGGCGTATCGGTCGCCGTAACCGCACCCGCAGTGTTTAAGTTCACTGCCGCGTCGAACCCGGAACGTCACTTAGCCGCCGCCGAAGCGTTTGGCGTAGACATTTCGAACGTGAAGAAGGAGAGCGCGGGAGAAGTGTTGAGCGAGGCGCTGGCGGAGTTCTTGATCAAGTTGGGTGATCAGCCGAGGGGGTTGAAGGCGCTTGGGTTTGGTGCGGGGGATTTGGATGGGTTGGTGGAAGGCACGATTCCGCAGGCGAGGGTGTTGATGCTTGCGCCGACGTTGGAGACGGAGGATTTGGAGGTGGAGAGGCAGCAGCTGAGGACGCTGTTTGAGGAGTCGATGGAGTACTGAATGCTAGGGGATTTGGAGCAATGTTAATATGAACATTTTTGACGTAGTACCTGGTTCACCTACTGCTACTTGACTTTTCGATATCTTACGGGCTGACTAGTGATTACTGCTCAGTCAGCAACATGCTCTTCTCAAGACTCCAATCTGACCCCAGTCCTCAATCTCACATGCAGACAAACGGTCCACATCCGACATGCTCTCGTAAGCAGTAGCTTGCCGCTTATCGATTAGGCACCCCACGACGCAGTTGGAGTCATTGACATCCATCTTCTCCCACCTTACCCCAAGCCCCCAAACCCCTAATAAACAAGCAATCACCCCTTCACATAACCACCATGTCTTCCCTCCCCAACACCTCCACCCGCCTCCAACCCTCTTTCACAGCCGCCTCGCACCCCACAGAAACCCCCTCCACGCAAAACATCATCACCGCCCTCAACCTAGAAACCCACATCGAAGGCGGGTACTTTTGCGAAATCGACCGCGACCCGCTACTCATCCCCAACCCCTTCCCCCAATCCCCCTCCCCCTCCAACACCCAAACCGCGCCCCTCCCGTTCTCAGGCGACAACTCCGTCCGCAACGCCAGCACGAGCATATACTACCTGCTCACGCCGCCGTCGCCACAGGGGCATTTTCACCGCAACAAGGGCCGCACGGTCCATACGGTGATCGAGGGGCGCGGGACGTACGTGCTGATTCACGCTGATGAGGAGGGGGAGGGGCATGGTGGGAAGAGGGTTGAGACGTTCGTGGTTGGGAAGGATGTGAGTAAGGGGGAGAAGGCGGTGTGGATTGTTGAGGGGGGCAAGTTCAAGGCGAGTTATCTTCTGCCTTGTGAGGGCGAGGACAGGTTGTTGATTAGCGAGGTGAGTGGATCGATCGTGCTGGAGAAGGGGAGGGAGGGGGAGAGGCTAACATGTATGTGTGTATGTGTACAGACGGTGGTTCCGGGCTTCGAGTATGCGGATCATGATTTTTTGACGAGGGAGGGGTTTGAAAGGTTGGTGAAGGGGGAGGTGAGGGGGGGGTTGGAGTGGTTGGTTAGGAGGGAGTGATGGATTTTGCAAGACATCAACATAGACTTGGCTAAAGTGTCTGAATCGGTATTGTATTCCGGTGTCCAGCGTCATGATGAATCATACTATGGCCTCCTCATCCCATGATAAAAAGAGTAGTGATATCGAGTAAACGCCTTTCCCATGCCATCGTCTCCATCAGAAAGAAAGTATAACTCCAACCCAGCTCCCACCTCTACTACACAGCCCTCCCTAATTGAAAGCACTGATGCTGTCAGTCGCAGACTGTGAGAGGAGCGTCAATTTCGAGGTCCGAGTGCTTGGTGGTATAAATGGTACGATGAGCGTGGAGGAGGATACATGTCTATATACGCGTAAAAAAGGGGTATTAAGCTTGCGCTTGAAAAGATCAACAAGAGAAACATGCAAATGTACAGTACGGCACGCATTCAAGGGACAGAGCCATGTCCATCAACCTTTACGTGCGAACACGCCCATCCTCACTCGCCCTCGGACTCTGCCTTCGACTATTCATCGTCGTATTCCTCTCCGTCTCCTCCGTCAATGTATCCAGACTCCTCGCCGGACTAGGCGTCGTGCCCCTACTACTCCTACTCCTGCTCGGACTTCCCGGTCGCGAAGTAGCAATCTCGTAGCTGGGGAGCGCGGCGTCGGTCACCATGGGCGCTCTACCGGGCGTGCGCACAGCCGTGTTGTAACTGGGCGTGCGCGCGAGGGCGTCCATGTCGTAACTTGACGGCGGGAGGTCGAAGTAGGCGTGTTCGCTGTTTGTTGCGGGCGTGCTATCGCCGGAGGATTGTTGGCGTTGGGGCTGGAAGCGCGTGGGCGGGTCGTGGTGTGATATGTCGAGATTCTGGAGTCGGTGTTGGAGGGCTACTGCAGATGCCCCGCCGCCGTTTGCGACGGCGTTGAGCGATGTGAGGTCGTCTGCGGAGCCGGTGCGGCTTTGGGCGTAGAAGGGCGTGTTGGCGCCGCTGTTCATCATGCTGTGGTAGCCGCCGGGAGTCATGAAGCCGGCGGGGTCGATGTCGTTGTAAAGCTCGTCGAGCTGATGCAGCCCATACGTAGGGGGCGCATTTTGGTTGACTTCGTCTTGGAAGGCTTGCTGGCTGATGATGGCGTTGTCTACGACCACGCTCTGGTCTTCGTTCGGAGGCAGGTTCGGCGAAATGAACAGGTGGACGTGGTTCTTGACGAGGAGCTGGCTGGTGTGACCCTCAGGATTCTTGAGATTAACATACAGCCGGAGTTTGTGCGTGAGGCGAATGTTCTCCGTATCGACCGACTGCCGGCAGTTTTTGAGCGATTTGGGGAGGTCCAACGTCATGGAAAAGCGATGCGACTCGTCAAACATTTCATCTGCCTCTTCCACGCCCTCGGGGACCCTGTTTGCTGAATTTGGGGGCATGTCGCCTTCGGTCACAGCGACCTGGACGTCCGTCTGGTGACTTATCCGTCTGCCAGCGTAATCTGCGAAGAGCTGGCGGGACTCGATGAGCTCCATTTTGATCGTCGCTATCTCGACGCCTTTGCGGAGTGGAATCAGGACGAAGTCTGCCGTGATCTGCGTTCCAACGATGTAGTTCTTCTGCGGAACCGTGATTTTGTAGGCCAGCTTATTCGCCCAGATGTCCTCGTTGATCTGCTCCATGGGCATCGTCTCGAGCAGGTCGCGGCCGAGGGTGCGAATGACGCGGATGTGCGATGTGGCAGAGAGCTGCTTGCTCATGTACCCTCGATCGACAGTCGCCTTGAGGTTGTAGACGATCCAGTTGGTCGGCAGCCCCTCGACGCTCTGGTCGAGGTTGTTGGGCATCTTGAAGCTGAAGTCCCACTCATGGTAGCCGGCGTTGATTTTGTGTGCCTTGTGCTTGCTCGCATCGTGGGGGAAGAGGTTCACGTGCTCGACGAGGAAGTTGGTCTTGTGCGCAATGGGCTGCGGGCTCACCGTGTTGGTCAAATGCCATCTGTCGCAGTATTAGCCTGCGAGGTTGCGGGTTTTGGGAAGCGTGGCGCCCTACGAGACCTTGCGCGTGCCCGTCAGCGAGATGCGAACGCCCCGCACGGATATCGACTCTGGGTTTGTGAGGATGAGCTTGCCCCTCAGCTCTGTCTCGTGCGACTCGGACGACTCTCCATAAAAGACAACAAAAGGCGACTCCGGCCTGGAAATAGTCAGCCTCGCAATTCAACAGAAACCTCTTCTACGGATCCTTTTCGCTCGGCAATTTCTTTGTTAGGGCGCGCAACTTACTTGATCTCGAGCACAGGCGCAATGCTTCTGCCAAAAACTCCGACGCTCGGGAGAGGCATGATGTAACGAGGGACAGGGCAAGCAACCACCAAAATCAAACCACCATGCCACTCGATAGGACCGGGGACTGCGCAGATAAAGTAGTGCTGGGAATGCAAATGTCCGCCTGTCGGTAACTGCCTGCTTGTGAATTCACCGGTGCCGATGCAGTAATACTCGCAAACGGTCCTGTAGTGAGAGTGTGGCTTTGGCTTTGGGGCTGAGTTCGCTGCGTGGGTAGAAAGAGGCCAGTGGGATGCAAGCGGTCCACGGGTAGATTCGAGTTATGTATCAAGAAGATCGGTGGGCCACTTTGGGCACTTCCCTTTCTCTGGCTCAACCGCGGCCGCCTGCGTTGGTTGCGTTGGATACACACCTTATCCACGCTTCTCCCACGCCTGCGGGCAAGGGCGGCCTGCCCTGCTAGCCAACCCAACCTGCACCCTGATGAGCTCACACGGAAAAACAAGTGGATACACAGCTGGACGTGTAGGGGTGCATGGCTGCGTGCATCATCGCCCTAGCGTCGCTTCTACGCGTCTTGGAAAACCTTTTGGCGGCGGGCTTCAAAGAAGGTAGCCCGCGAACGGCGTTGAATGACAAGCACGTGCGGCTGCATTGCGTGCTTGCTCGTGAAAGCTTATTTTGGCACCGAGATAACAGTTCTCAAAACACAACTGTCATACTCAATACCAGACACTGTCTGACAGGTGCCGCTGCGGTCGTCGGCCTTCTCCCCGGTTACACACGCCCGGAGCCTCATGGATTGGTACTTGATATCGCGTTTCGCGCACAGATCCCACTTTATTGCGCCACACAAGCACCATCATCGGCCAACGTGCGTTCGAAACGTAGGCCAAGCTGCGATAATGCACCTCGCCGGTTTCTAGAAGCATGCACGTGGGTGTTGGAGAAAGATTGTGATCAGGCTTTTGGTACGCCTATCGTGTTGGGATGGCATGGCGTTATCGCTTGTGGCGTCGAGGCTGAAAACTTCGCTATAAGCCTCCTGCACTTGTGAAGGCATGTAAGCGCCCGTGCCTGTCGCAGCATGGCTCGCCAACAGCATCTCGAAACACGAGGCTACTGTAGTTGCAATGTAGTTCGCGACACCTAAACTCGGCCCGAGCGAGCGTGGCCACGAAAATCTGCGGCTGCTAATCTAGAGCCTGCATTGCATTGCCGCAGCTGGGCCACAGATCGCCCTACGACACCGTGATATCAGTCGAGGCTCATGCGAACAAAGGCTCCTGAAGAACCCGTTCGTCTCCACTGATATGTACCGGGACTTGTTAGATGTGGATGCACGACGTTGATGTTCTCTGTACCACCACACAACTACCCGTGTCGTTCGATGGATGAGGCTCGGGACGCGCGATGCGGGCGCATGTACAACGTCGCACAGGCGCATGCAAGTCGATCTGCGCAGGGCTGACACGTCCGATGCTGGAAAACAGTGTGCACGTCTTGCATGTGCTTCCACATCGGGTCGATACGGAAAAGGCCCGCGTATACCCGTACAAAAACACCAGGGACGTTTGCTCCATATAGTGGGGCTCTGAGACCATTGTATTAGGAATACCATCTAGGATACCACTGTCTATGCTCCAAGCGTGGTGGATTGCCTCGGGAGGATTACCGGGTCTCACATCAGAGTGTGTTCCACAACTCAAAGTCTATCAGACCTGATGGCGTGTCTTGAAGCATGTCAGACTTGCTCTATCAAATCCAACACTCCAACCCATGACAACCACGTCGCATCATCTACCCACGTTTACACGTTATTCGTCGAAGCCACCGACTGACCGCTGTCGTCGTTGCTCGCGCCTTCTTTCGGCCGGTCCCATGTTCGAATGTGGCCTGAGAGAAATTTGTTAGCGATCCACTTCCTTATCAGCTTCAACAAAGACCTCAAGTTCAACAAACGCAAAATGTGGGTCCAAGTGCGACACAGGGCGGGTGTTCCTGAGCGTGGCGCGAGGACAAGCCTCAGCGCACATTTTAGGTGGAACGTGCGAAGCTTGGTACCCGTGCTGCGATGCGGTGAGGAAGTTTGTTGACTCACCTTTTTCACATGTCGTCAGGATGCAATCCTCTTCGAAGCCGAGCCAGACTACAGGATGCTCATCCACTGTTTTTGCCTGCGTTCCAGTTAGTCGACGGCGTTCGTTATTCCATTTGAGCACGTACAAGCACCGGTGGCAACATGGCTGCGCGCGCCCGAGGTTCGACTGGATGCACCACCTCTTCATCTTCAACAAGGCTGCCAGAAGTGAGATTCGAGTTGGATCGAAGCCTGTTGGCGCTGCTGTCGGTCCGCGTCCGCTGCATCTTCAGGTTCGACGAGGTAATACTATTGCGTTGTCGTACGGAGGCCTGATACTGAAGTCAGTCATCATTTTTCAATATTCGCGTGCATTGAGAACATACCGCTTTTGGCCTATGTAGCATGCTAACGCTGAAGTCCCACAACAATAACCGACAGTCTTCACCAACACTGCCGATACGGTAGTTGCGATCATCGCAGCGCCAAGGGTCGAATTGAACCGCAGTGACCCATGAATTGTGGCCTTGACAACGCGCGACGAGCATTCTATCCTCTAGGGACCAGATCGATACAAGATCATCTTGGCCCACCAGTGACGATGTACCGTCCATCTGGCGACCAACAAACGCAAATCATACCGCCATAGTAGCTCATGTAGTGGTGTAACAGCCTGGTCCACGTTAGAAAGGTCCCCACGAATGCAAAATGCAGACTTACTTCTCCTCCAAGAAATCGATGATCCGGAATGAACCGTCCTCGGATACAACGGCGAGGTGTCGGCGATCCGGCGAGAACTCAAATGCGTTGATTTTGGAACTCGAGATTTGCCAGCAAGATACTGGGTTCGCCTTCTGGTTTTTGGAGTTGACCGATTTTTTGACGGTAAGATGGGCTTTCTTGCCAGCATCGGACATGACGTCTTCTGCACTCGTTGACTGGTCCTCTGCAACAAATACAGCATCCTCTTTCTCCTTGTCATACACGACAAGACCCCCATCCATGTGCGCCGCGAGGAAAAGGTTCTCGCTGTTGGGCAACCATCGAACTTCGGACACGGGCGTGGGGTTGATTACCCCGTTTTTGTTGATTCGAGAGTACTTCTGCGACATGGGTTCGTACCATATTATATCGCCAGTGGAAAAGCCCATGACGATATCGAGATGGTTTGGTCCTTTTGTAATCTGGTTTATGTCGTGACACAGAGCATGTGCCTTGGTGAACAGAATCTTGGTCATGTGCTCTTCCTTTGTGGGCGAGGTCAGATCTAGCCACTGCAGAGCACGATTGATGTTCGCGAAAGCGTAATGTCCATTCGGATTATGCTCCTGCAGTCGCTTTGACAAGGCCTCATGGGGAATCACGCGCGACACGAATGACGAATTGCTCTTAACAATGTTGCTCTTGGGTTTCCGCTTCTTAAGAGGGTCCTTGGAGTCTTTCCCATTGACCACAGCCAGCGCCGCATTGCCCTCGCCAAAGACGGGTGTATGCAAGCCCTCAAGTGGGGACGAGGCAACGCCGTTGACACCCTGCGAGCCCGTATCGCTGGCCTGGCTATGCGATTCGTGCGGCGATTCCTGTATGCTTGGGGGAACTTGCGACCGAGTACTGTTGCGTGTGCCGAACCGGTACAGCTGTGAAGTCGAGGGCTGACGGGGCGCGAGAGCCACCAAAGAAAGCTTGGTGCCGCATGTGGGTGGGCTCACGGTGGTCGCAAGAGGGTTCGGGTTGTGGACAGGCGCTTCGGAGGGATGAGGGGGCGGCGTAGCCAGGTGCAGTTCGTCGCGAAGCACGTATGTACCTGGCGCGCTCGCGTTAGCATAAATGTCTTGGTAGTAACAGAATCATGGAAGCTTACCTTCTCCTACCACCAATTGGTACTCGGGCCCCTTTGGATGCGTCAGGGTATTGTTGGTCTCGATTATCTGCCCTGGAGGCAGGCCAGGATACCCGCCTTGTGCCATGTCAGTCTCGGTCGCCACACATGGGATATGTCTACCGTACCTGTGGGATACCGTGGCGGTGGTGGCAGTACACTTTGGCTGGGTCAGCGAACGTCTACTGCGTACATGTACAGCAAGCAGTTGGGACTGCGATTGGTGCATTCTCGGCCGTCAGCCGGCAGGTCGAGTACTTACAACATGGTGAAGTGTCGCGCGACAAGCAATGAGACGGGCAACAAACAACGATTCGATCAGGTCCAGGTCACGGGGCTGGAGAGTGGTCAGTCGTAGGTGCGCCAACAGACCCGAGAGACAATATCTGGGCGCGTTGTGCCGTGAAGGGAAAGGCCGGCCATGGATTCGGAAGACGGGCCACCTGGGGAAGTGCGGAGAGTGCGGCGCATGCTTGCCGTGCCTGAAGCCCCGGCCAGCACGCCTCACCGGACACATTCGTCTCGTCCATGGTTGGAGGAAAGGCTGGAGCCGGCACCAATTCGGCGGATATGCAGGGTCTCTTGCAGCCAGGGTGAAGGCAAGTCATAACGTGCATTCCCAGCAGCTTGGAGAACACGCGGGGAAGCCGTGGTGGGCGCGCACGGGCGCGAAGCTGCAAAGTGTCGCTCGCCGCTGCTGATCGAGGCGCCAACCACAACCAAACCTAAACCACTGCAATCGCCATGCCATTATAACCATGCTGTCCAGATATGGCGACTGGTAAGTCAGCTTGCTTCTGCGCCCACTTCTCTGCGCACAGCCAACATCATTGCCGCAGTCCGGATATGTGTGTGCGGTGACGATGGAGTCGGCAAGAGCTCCATTATCACGTCGCTCGTCAAGAATGTCTTCGTCACGGCAAAGATCCAGCCCGTGCTGCCCCAGGTAACGCTGCCGCCGTCGCTGGGCACGCCCGACAACGTCTCTACCACCATCGTCGACACCTCGGCCCTGCCCCACGAGCGCGATGTCCTCCGCAAAGAACTGCGCAAGTCCAACGTCATCCTGCTGGTCTACTCGGACCACTACAGCTACGAGAGGGTTGCGCTGTTCTGGATGCCCTACTTCCGTTCGCTGGGCGTGAATGTTCCGGTAGTGCTGTGTGCAAACAAATCAGAGCTGGCTTCGAATGGCACAACGTCGCAAGTGGTGGCCGAGGAGATGCTGCCGCTGATGAACGAGTTCAAGGAGATCGACTCGTGCATACGGACGAGCGCAAAGGAACACCACAACATCAACGAAGTCTTCTTCCTCTGCCAAAAGGCCGTCACCCACCCGATTGCGCCACTCTACGACTCCAAGGAGAATGCCCTCAAGCCCGCCGCAGTGTCTGCGCTGCAGCGCGTCTTCCACCTGTGTGACAAGGACAAGGACGGCTACTGGAGCGATCGTGAGATCCACGACTTTCAGCTCAAGTGCTTTGAGAAGCCGCTCGGCGACGACGACCTGGCCAACATCAAGCGGTCGATGGAGCGCTTCGCCCCAGGTGCGACCGACGAGTACGGCATGGATGAAAAGGGCTTCCTCCTGTTGAACAAGATCTTCGCTGAAAAGGGGCGCCACGAGACCATTTGGATCATACTGCGCAAGTTCCACTATACCGACAGTCTCAGTCTGCAGGACACCTTTCTGCGTCCCAAGTTCGACGTCCCCCAGTTCTCGTCTGCTGAGCTCAGCCCCTCGGGATATCGCTTCTTTGTCGATCTGTTCCTGAAGTTCGATCACGACAACGATGGTGGCCTGAACGACCAAGAGTTGGCCAATTTGTTTGCGCCCACCCCAGGCATCCCAGCATCGTGGATAGAGTCCTCATTTCCATCTTGCACAGTCCGAAACGAAGCTGGATACATAACGCTGCAAGGCTGGCTCGCGCAGTGGAGCATGACAACCTTTGAGGAGCCGAAGACCACGTTGGAGTATCTCGCATACCTCGGGTTTGAGAGCAACGACCGAGGAGGAACTACGAGTGCACTCAAAGTGACCAAAGCCCGCAAGCGACGTAATAAGCCCGGGCGGGTCGAGCGCAATGTCATTTTGTGCTACGTGTTGGGTTCAAGTGGCAGTGGGAAGAGCGCTCTGCTGTCTGCGTTCCTGCAGCGGCCGTTCAGTCACATGTACCATCCGACAATCAAGCCCCGGTCGGCGGTGAACAGCGTGGAACTGAAGGGCGGCAAGCAATGCTACCTAATCTTGGAAGAGCTTGGCGAATTGGAACCCGCCATACTGGAGAACCAAGCGAAGCTTGATGCGTGCGACCTGCTGTGCTACACTTACGACTCGAGCGATCCCGACAGCTTCGCGCACATTGTTGAAACGCGCAAGAAGTATCCTCATCTCGACCAGATACCAGCCGTATATACGGCGATGAAGGCGGATCTAGATAAAACGATGCAGCGTTGTGAGCAGCAGCCGGATGAGTACACCAGCGCGCTGAAGATGTCACCGCCACTGCATGTCAGTGCAACGTGGAACAGCATCTCGGAGTTGTTTGTCCATGTAAGCGCACGCTTTGGCTCGAATTCGTGGACGAAAATACTAACGAGCTGCAGTTGGCTGAAAGCGCAACGCACCCATCTACGGCCTTCCCAAAGCAGGAAGAAGACCCCTACGACAACCTCAACCTGTACCTGGCGTTGGGCGCCGTGACGTGCGCCGTCGCGTCGGCGATTTTCATATGGAAGCGCAATAGCAGCAGCTTGTGAGTATGGACTTGTCAATGTGTGTTGCGTGGGTATATGAAAGGATTCCCTTCTCACAAGTGTATATTATACGGTCTCCTAGAACGAATGGATGAAGTTACGCTTTTGGCTATGCTCAATCTGCCGTTGCAACTTCAACACTGCGCTAGAACGTGTTCCGTGTTCTTGCCGCCAAATGTTCTGTCGCACAAGAAAGTCAAGGTGAGACTGTGTTGCTGTCAGATGCTGCTGTGTAAGCGCTACAGCTGGTGTTAGACGGTGACATCACTTGGTGGTGCGATTTAGCACGAGCGAATAGGGCCCAATGCAGGGCCCGGGACCGTGTACCCCTGAAGGGCACCGCCAGCGCCATGCGTGTAGCCGGATACGGGCAAGGCGCTAATATGTTTAGACGTCGAAGCCGGTGGCTATGCGATCGCTGGCGACACTTGGACGGTGATGGGCAAGATTTGCAGCCGCGCACCAGCAATGTTAGAGCATGACGGCGCTGGTGGGCAGCTGGGAGCCCATGGCAGCCCAGCAGAAGCGTGCTCGTGTGTGCGGTGGGGGGCTTCCAAGTGCAGGCGGCCGGGGAGTCACAGCGGCGGGTAGGCACGCAGATAGTTGATGTGATGGAGGGAGACATGGCGGCGGCGGCACGAGAAGACCAGCGGCTGGAGCACGCAGACATTCACTCGCTCCTCGCCCCGTGGCTGACTTGCTTCATCGACCGAGCTCGAGGGCTGACGTCTCTTTTCAGAGGGCCGGCCGGTGCACGCAGCATCTCTCGACCAGACTGTTTGGGCCCTAGCCTCGTTAGCCTACAGGTCAAGCAACAACCTCACAATTCAATCACCGAAGCCTCTTGGACATGGATGCGCTGATATCCGCCCCTGCGCCGCTGCACCACCCGCTCACCCTCGCCGCCCGTGGTTGTTGATGTCCTTCGATGCCCTCTTCGCCCGTGAATTTTCCTGAACAGGGAGCCATCGTGGCCATCAGCCAACCGAGATCTCCGCATTCCTCAGGCTGGGGCAGCCAGCATGGTAAGTGCAAACAGTGCAATGCTGCACGCGGGCCCGTCGCCGGCGGAGGGAGACAGAGGCAGAGGCAGAGGCAGAGGCAGCGTGCTCACTGCTCACGAGTCTCGTCGCTGCCGGGGTGTGACCAACCTCACGGCTCGCTCCCGACAAAGGCCCGCGGAGACGCCCAGCTCCCCCATACTCTTGTGTAGCCATGTTCACGCTGCAGTTGCTGACTACTTCTCCGCACTCTCCGCAGGCCAACGATCGAGCCCGCGAACTCGAGCGCGTGTACCAGATGCGACGCGGCCATGTTCCACAAATCTCGATAAGCGATGACAACCACCACGTTACCGAAGCCATAGGCGATCTGTACGGCGGCGACAGCGACACAGAGCCCTCCCGCCGCAACTCGCGGCCCCTGAGCTTCATCCCATCCCCCAACGGCGACTCCATCCAGTCTTTTGGCGCCTTTGAGCCCTTCGACCCCTTCCCCGCCGCGCCGCCCGCCAGAAGCCCGCTGCGTCCCCAGATGGCCGCCAGCTCGCCCCCCGACCCGCCCGCGGGCAGCAGCAGCCACGGCGAAGGCACACCCAGCAGCATCGCTGTGCCCGCGAACAAGCGCACCTCGTTCTCGCACCACGGCAGCCCCCACAGCCACGGCCCGCTCTCACCGCCGCTGTCGCGCACCAACTCGGACACGGCCTCGCAGCAGTTCCCCCTCAATGACCTGGACTACGAGTCGAGCCCCGCCGGCCTCGCCCAGGAGCTGAGCAACCTGCAGGCCATTCGCAGGATGTCCATGGGCGTCAACAATGCCGACCCGGACCTGCCCTCGTTCAAGTCGAATGGCCCCCCCTCGCCGCCCGCCCTGTCCGACGACGATGACCCTGCAAAGTTGTTCTGGGTGCCCGCCCGGTTACACCCCGAGCTAGCGCCCATGGAGTTCAAGACCTTCATCGAAGACAAGGTCAACACCATCCGCCGCCGCTCCGGCGACTCAGACTCGCTCTCGCCCGACGGCGCCCTGGGTCGACAGTCATCGGGCGGAGGGTTGCGGCGGAAGAAATCGATGCTGTCGCGGCAGATTGACAGCGGCTCGGGCTACAAAGACGGCGCGGAGCGGCTGGAGAGGCAGCGCTCAATCCACCAGCCAAACGGAGGCCTGTCCGACCTACAAGAACTCGAGCACATCCACGAAGACTCCACAGAGTTGGTGCGGCAGATGAGCTTGTCGGGCAAAGGCACCAGCGGAGATGGCGAAGTTGGTGCTGAGGGAGACCTCTCCATCGCACCCAGCAAGTTTGGCGGCCTCGGCACCCTGAAGCGGTCGACACGCACCACATATCGTCGGGGTAGCTTGCGGAAGGGAGGGCCACCGCTCTCGAGGCGGCTGATGACTGGGCGTCAGGGGGACACCGACACCGAGGAATCGCCCTCGACCTCCCCCACGCGAACCAGCATGCCCGAGGTGCCACCACTCCCACTTTCTCGTGTGCAATCAGAGCCTGTCAACGGCCAATTTGAAGGACCCTCGAACTTTTCGCGACCCCGCAGACGCTCTCCTCCGGATTCACATAGGCCTGGATCAGCCGAGGGCACAAGGCCAGCATCGTCCGAACAGACTACAGAAGAAAAGTCAAGACCGCAGCAGAAAGCGTTCCATTCTCGTATCGCCTCCAACGGTCGGACTTCAGCGCATCTGCCAGGCTACAAGCCGCCGACATTGGCGTCCCCAGTGCCTCAGATTATTGAAACCCCGCCGCCCCAAGAACCAGACCGAAGGCAACAGCAGTTTCTGCCTCCTGAACGCCATTCCTCACGCCAGCCTCCTCCTCCGCAACAACAGCCCAATGGACCTCGCAACTTCCAGCAACCACCCCCTAACCAGCAGCACCAGCAACGGCAGCCATCCAATAGCCGGCAAAATCGCCATGCACAAGCAGCACAAAACTCTCCGATCAAAGCCGCACAATCGTTTGACGATCTTGTCCAGCACCCGACGCCTTTGCCTGGAAACACGACCAGAACAGACAACCTGTCCATCATTCCCAACCTGCCAGAAGAGAAGAAGTCGGACAAGAAGACCAAGGACAAGAAAGACGGCTCCGAAGGCTCGAGGAAGACCAGTTGGGGCTGGCTAACAGGCGGTGACAAAGATAAGGAGAAGGACAAGAAGGAGAAGGAAAAGGACAAGGACAACAAGGAAGAACGCGACAAGGAGCTTGCCAAGAAGGTGAAGAACAAGCTCAGCAAAAGTCAGGACAAGAGCCACGACGATACAAGGCTAGATGTACTGCAAACTTCCATCCAGGGTTCTGGTCGCGGACGTGAGAGTCTTGTTCTCGATCGCGAGGGTGTGAAGCTCGAAGAGGAACGCAAGAAGGAGAGCAACAGAAAGTCGTCCAGTGACGGCAAGAAGGAGAAGGAACCCGGTCTGCTGTCGTCCATCTTTGGCGGTGGTAAGAAGAAGGGTGACAAGGAGACCTCACAGAAGAAGGCTTCATTACGCGGTCTTTCTCCTGAGCCTCCGCCAAAGCCAAAGATCCCTGACGTTGACTACAACTGGACTCGCTTTTCAATCCTTGAGGAGCGTGCCATTTACCGCATGGCGCACATCAAGTTGGCCAACCCTCGTAGAGAGCTCTACTCGCAAGTGTTGCTGAGTAACTTCATGTACTCATACCTCGCCAAGGTCCAACAGATGCATCCGCAGATCCAGATTGGCAACTCAAAACAGGCCAGACAGGCGCAACAGCAGCAAGCCGCACAACAGAAGAAGGAGCAAGAGCAGCAACAGCCCCAAGCGCTACCTCAGCAGCAACAAGACCAGCCTCAACAGCGACAGTCTCGAGCACAACAATCCCAGCAGCAGCCCGATGAGTTTGCCCAATATCAACGGTACCAGCAGGTGAGCTTTTAAGCCTTCAGTATTGTTGATAATAACTAACAGTGTTTGCAGCAACAGGATCAATCTGACAAGAACGACTGGCCAAGTTCACAGCAGCAGCAAAACAACGCAGGTTCTCGGCAACCTCAGGAGAACGGCCACCACGTCCAAAGAAACCAGTACGGCAATCCATACGACCAAAATCCTCGCGACTCCCACCACTCGCAACACAACGCCAACGGCGGCGGTGGTAATGGCTACAGCGTCGCCAACACCCAAAACTACCTTGGACAAGGCAGCAAGCACGGCTACACCTACTCTGACTCCGACCAGAGCAGCCGGGCTGATGATGACATGTGGTAGCACCACTAGCAAACCAGCAGGCGTGACGGACATGAAGAATTATTTCGGACGCTGGAGCGTAGAAGATTTACGTCTTCTCTTGTACTATATATCATTTTCCCTTCCACCAAATTTTTCCGTCATATTGTCTAATGTTCTTTTTTTCCTCTCTTCACGTTGTGGGTAAGCTGGGCGTACAAGGCATGCATGGACGAGCGGATGGGATGAATGATTGCGAATGGAATGGAATTATCCGATGATGGGTGGATGCATACATACAATTGCAACTTTTCCGGGGGTGTTGCGGGGGATAGGATGGCTATGTAGCAATGGAGTGGGTATGTGGCATTTGATTTTCTTCTTCTTCATGCTTGGTGATTTGTGCTTGCCGATGATCTGTTTGGTTTGGCTTCTCGAAAACTGCTTACATGTCTGCATGCCTAGCGACGTGTTTTGACGGAAATGGAGGATTACCCTGACGCAAGAGTGTTCTTTGTTCCACTCTACAGCACCACAGACATGATCTCACATATTTCTGAACCTGCTCGTCATCGAGACGCTCGTATAACATCACCAAAACAGCAATGAGTAATGGTTTGTAGATCCCAGCATGCTCTTTTCTATATGTCGTCCTATCTCTATCTCTTGCCAACTCCTTACCAACTACGTTCTTTTTTTGCTTCTTTCAAGCGTAAGCTTAATATCCCCTTTTTCGGCATATATAGACATACGACTTTCCTCCACCATCCTGGCACCATGTACTTCACCCTTATTGTGTAGTGGCAGCTTGTGGTGGAGGATGGTCTTTACACATGGCATGGGCAAGGCGGTTACACGATACCATATCACTACTGCTTTTTACGGTCGGGCTGGTAGAAGTATGAAGCATGACGTGCGGGATGATCGTATGAGCTGTATGGAATAGATAATACTATTGCATTTCCACAAAAAATGAACTTCTCGACCCCCGCCTGATGATTCCATTCGATTTTTTCCATGCATTGCGACCGCGTTTTATAACGTAATAACACGGCTTTGCGATTCGATACACTGCCCTGCCTGCATTCAACTGGATTGTCGGGCTGTTCTGAGTCAACCTTGTGATTTGTATTCTCCTGGAAGCAGCACCGCGTTACTTGTATCAACGCCCGTGGACTCAGTCACACGCAACATCGTAAACATCACCTCATTGAGTGGTGACCTGCTAGCTGACGGTATGTATCATCATATCTCATTCTACTGTGGATAATGCTCAAACAAAAACCCCGCCGCCATTTCCACATTCCCATCCGTCGCATTCAGCGCCGCCACAGCCTCATGCTGCGCAAACCCCAACACCACCAACTTCTGCACCTCCTCGTCCGGCCATGCAGTACTCGGCGCCGGCAACGTCGTCACCATCTGTCTGATCTGATCCGCCGTAACGCCCAGCAACGGCTGCTCAGTGCGCGGCCGCGGCGGGTCTTCCACCCTCAACACCCTGCCCAGCGCCCCCACCCAGCCCGCCTGCACCGTCTCATTCCCCAATTCCAGCCCCGCGACATGCACGATGTCCTCCTCGCTATCCCCGGAGTTGAAGTACTCCCAGCCCATGACGCCGCCGAAGCCCTTGCCCACGGTTTTATACTTCTCCCGCAACTGGGCACATACATCCCCCAGCTTCCCCACGGGTACGTGCCCAGCCCCGTTGCCCGGGTTCGTCACAACGCCCAGCACGATTTTCTCGGGCTTCCACCCCGCGGCGATGATCGCGTCATACCACCCCGTCCCGCTCGCGTCGCCCCACCCGCAGTAGAATTGCGTGTTGTACCACGCTACTTCGCGGCCGTACACACTGCATTCGAGTTCTGCGTACGAGAAACCCGAGAGGTGGGGGAGCGTGGGATACAACGGGTTGGGACTGGGCCCGCTGGCGAGCATGTTGCGCGGCGGGCGCATGTGTGGCGGGATATTGGGGTCAGGGAGGAGAGCAGTGGCGACGGGTGCGAGGGTGATGAGGAAGTCTGCGCCGAAGTCTGCGCGCAGACGGGATATGAGGCGGGTGGTTGTGGAGAGGGGGGATAGGTTCTTCGATGTCAAGGTCGAGGCCGTTTATGTTGTGTGCGGCGATCACGGTGCGGAGAGGGGTGTAGTGTGCTTCGAACTACTTTGATGTGAGTATGAGCGGTAGAGGACGGAGTGAACGTGCGTGCGGGTTATCGGCCTCTTGCTCCTCCTTGTCCGTACTGCAGACTCATGGACTTTCTGCAGTGTCTACTTC